AGAGTGGATGAATAAGGAGGTGAGGAAAAGATAAATCCATGGACTTTTTTCTTACTCTGGTCATTGTTTACAAGCATGCGTATTTATTATCTTTGGTCTGGAGTATAAATTCATATAAGATTTTTTAAATATCTTTTTAAACCCAAAAATATATAAATCCTCTTATCTAATTTATTGAATACTAAAACTTTATAAACAGTAAACAGTAGTTTACTTTGCTATCTTTTAAAAAATATTTATTTGTTTTTTAAGTGTAGCTAGGGGTCGGGGATGTAGCTCAGTGGTGCTGCTGCCTGCCTCATAAGTGCAAGGTCCTGAGTTCAATCCCTGGTACAAATAATAATAATAATAATAATAATAATAGCAATAATAATAAGTTAAGTGGAGCTGGTAAATGTATATGTTCTCTGGAGTTCCACTGTGAGAATATTATTCTACTTTGCATTCTTTTAAAATGCATACTCAAACGATTCAAAACTGATTTCAGACACAAGAGAGACGTGTTAATTTGCAAGTGAATTCTGACTGATTTTCTAGCCAGCTAATGCCATTTAGATCAAAAAATTTTTAGGCTTGGGCTGAGGATTTAGCTCAGTGGTTCCTCCACCTGACTCACAAGCACAAGTTCCCAAGTTTGATCCCTGGTACCAAAAAAAAATTTTTAGTTTTTTTTTTCACTAATTATATACATTGTAAGCCTCAAAGATTACAGGCACATATGGTGTTGGTTAACATTTCATTACTGTAACAAATACCCGAGCTATATGAAGAAGGGAGGTTTATTTTCTAATGAAGAAGCAAAGGTTTAGTTTTGGCTCGTAGTTTTGGAGGTTTCACTCCATGAAACACCCATTGCCTTTAGGCCTTTGATGAGGTAGCACATTGTGACAGGAATCCATGGCAGAGAAGCCCCCTCACCTCAGGACTGAGTATGGGAATGAAAAGAAACTGAGGGGTAGAGCAGGTCCCCACAGTCTCCGAGGGCATGCCGCCAGTGAGCTCTAGCCGGCCATAGGCCTCATCTCTTAAGGCTTCTGCCAGCTCCTGAGGATATCAGTGTGGAGACTATGCCTGTCAAATATGGTCCCCCTTTGTGGGCCCTTCTAGACCTGACCTATGGCACAGACACAATCTGCTCGGCTTGTGTGACAAAAGGGCGTTCATAAAGGGGAGTTTAATGTATGCAACTGGTGGTCATGGTAGGAATCCCAATCCTTGGATTCACTTTGCCTGCACAGAAACAAAATGAACCATTCTAGTGCCTGCTAAGGCAGCTACAACATGTGTTTTTCCATTGAATGCTTGCAGAAATGTTGCAGTGTGAGAGCTTAAAACGAAGGGTGATGGCTGTCATGTCCTTAGAAGTAATCTGCTTAGCAAATGATCGATACTGGAAGTGTATTTTGGAGGCAGGTAATGCAAACATCTGTGTATTAACTATGTTTTTCCTATGCCGTGGTATATTTTTTTCAGGCCAATTATGTGTGTGTGTGTTTGGTGCTAGGGGCTGAACATAGGGCCTTGTGTATGCACTCTATCACCAGACCTAAGATACATTTGTGATTGTAAAAAACCTTTTTAGTCCATTTTAAGCTTCTTTTCCTTTTTTCTATGATCATCTCCTTTTTCTGTCAATCCTTTAGTTTCCTTGTGGAAGCTGTAAACAATCAAACATCTGAATTAATATTAGAGAAATCCTATTTCTCTGCAAGCTTCCAAGCTTAAACGCTGCTATTGAATTATTTTAACACACCACTCTTATATTTACTTTCACTTAGCAATGATCCCTATTCTGTTTTTGCACAATTTGATTTCATTTTCTAAATTAAAAAAAGCAAAGTGGCAGGCCAGACTCATAGCTAGATCTTCATTTGCAAGTTAAATTAACTACCTAGCCTCTCTACCCTAACTTCCTCGTTACTAATTTGTTCCACCTCAGAGGATGATTCTGAGAACAATACTGTTCAATATAACTTTCTGAAATCAGGAAAATATTCTATCCATGCTACCCTAATATGGACACCAAGCACACATGGGATAGTTTTCTAAATAATGTTAAATAAATAAATAGCTGGAGTAAAATTTATTTAATGATAGACAGCCTTCTAATGTATTCCTACAATCATGTACAGAAAACATTATGTCAAAAAAGTGAACCAAAGATTCAAATCATGAAGGATGTTCCATTGCTGCCAGCTGCTACACAAATAAATGAACGAAGCCCTAGTTATACGATTGTCTTTCCTATCAGCTTGTGTGTGTTGTATAACGAGCTCTTTATTTCACAGCGAGTTGATGAAAGTGTAACAAGCCTGCCGTGGAAGCCAAATGTTCTTGTTCTCTACAGGCCCCGTGGTTTCAGTCTTTAAACCAATTGTAGCTAATGAGGATGGTGGGCATTTTGTTAGATTCAGCGCTGTTGGTCTTTTCGCTTGCTGGAATAGCACAAGGAGAAAATACAATAAAAATAACCACACAAACACTACCGCACAAAGTAGATGTGATAACCAAAGTGAAACACTCTACCTACCACATGGTAACTCTAAGAATGTATCATTGGTGGTAAGCCAGATGTCAATGTTTTAAAAATGGCTTCTGTTGCCAAGCCACATGCATGCCGGGCGCTGTGAAATCAAATGAGAGCTGCTTATGGTATAGATCAGTTAAAGAAATACATTTATATAATTTCAAGGAATTATGTTTATACCTTACAGGATGATTTGCTAGTCATTTATATTACAGTGCCCATAAATATCATTTAAATCGTGGCATGATGAAATGACCGCAAAGGATTACAATGATTCGTGATATTTTCATCCTGTCTACACAGGCACCATTCCGGCCTTAATCAATCTACTAAAAAGTCCCAAAATAAAATTACAGTGCAAAACTGTTGGGCTCTTGAGCAATATCTCAACCCACGGAAGTGTCGTGCGTGCCTTGGTAGAGGCGGGCGCTATTCCAGCGTTGATCGCGCTCCTGCTTTCTGAGGAGCCTGACCTGCAGTCTCGCTGTGCTGTCATTCTCTACGACATCGCTCAATACGGAAACAAGGATGTGATCTCCAAGCATGTAAGTGCTGTTCCCAGAAACCCAGTTTTGGCTGATGGTAGTTCCGTCACACGGAAAGAGGCTCATTTTCTTATCCAGGGACAAAACTCTTAAGGATCAACAGGGAAAGGAGAGAGAGGGAGCCTGGTGAAAATTAACTCACAAAGAATCTGGCATTTGGGCAGTGGCGGAGCCCTGACCTAGGATTCCTTTTTGTTTACTTTTAAATTTTGTCTCGGTACACGTTTGCAGCACATCGTGTTTGCATTCCTCATACACAGTTGTTACATGCGCGTGGCACATCTTCATTCCTCGCTCATCCCTCGTCCTTTCCTTCCCTGCCCCTTCCCTCCATCTCTTGATCCCTTTCCCCTTGAGAAAGATCTCCCTCCCGACTTCCTATTACCTCTCTTATTTTGCTCCTGATTCATAATTTGAATTTCTCGTATAAGAGAAACTGTGCAATATTTAAGCTTGTGTGCCTGATTTACTTCACTTAACATTATGGACTCAAGGTGCGTCCATTTTCCTACAAATGACTCAAATTTATCTTTCTTTATGGCAGATTAGTACTCCATCCTGTGTAAACACCACATTTTCTTTATCCAATCATCAGTTGATGGACATATAGGCCCTGGGTTCTATCCTCAGCAGCATCAAAAAAAAAAAAGCATTGGAATACATCCCTGAAGTAGAAAAGGGGGTGTTTTTTATATTTTAGTATACACTGATAATTTCTTGCTATTTGTAAGACAACATGACAAGAAATAATACCAAGCCGGATATGGTGGCACACTCCTATAATCCCAGCACTCTTGGAGGCTGAGGCAGGAGGACTGAAAGTTCAACCCCAGTCTGGGCCACTTGGCAACTTAGTGAGATACTGTCTCAAAATAAAAATGAAAAAGGACGGTATGTGGCTTAGTGCGGAGGCCCTGGATTCAGTCACCAGAACCAGAAAAAGAAGAGAGAAGAAAGAAATAGTACCATTCTAGCCATTTCCATTCTGACCGATAAGTGCAGTCTAATTGTGTACCAGGAGGATTGACAAGAAAATCATTTTAGTGAACATCAAGTAATCTTTGCCATGCTGTATTTCTTCATATATAGTCTGCCATAAAACTATATCAGTGAGTATTTTAAGATCTTCTGAGAGTTATTACAAGTAAAGCTTCTTTACATGACTCTCTTCAGTTTTGCATAGTTACATCATTGAGGACTGGGTCTTTTGCATTATAAAATTTATGTTTTCATCGTTTACTTCTTTTGTCTTTAATTCCACCTCATCTCCAACTGAGATTAAGCTATTTCCTTTTAGATTTTATATTTAGTTTGCATTGTATCATCCTTCTGCACTTCTCAGTCATTTTAGTTGTGTTTGTTGTCATTTGTCTGGAAAATCTAATACAAATAGAGCCTCCAGGCCTACCTCAGAGCTAGTCAGCCTTATCCATTGAGGCCTTATAATGTTCGGGGGTTCTGATAATTAGTCAGAGGTGGGGTAAATGTGTCCTTTGCATGCTGTGCATGCAGGTTTTGCTTTTGTCACTCACTTTTCATTATCTCATACATTTTATCTGATACCTATTATCTCATATGTCTGTTGTTCTGCATGTTTATCTTAGTTCAGATCAGTGTTTTCTTTACCTTTGAAGTCCAGAGCTTACATATCCATGTTGATTACCCATTCTTCCCGGTACTTGGTGTACCTTTTCAACAGATCCATTTGTACTATTTTATCTGGGGGATGTTTTCCTGAATTCATATCTTTAAATATCTTTTCTGTAGTATTACTTCAATTCACTCATACAACAAATCTTTATTGAGTGGTTATCATGTGATAGATAGTATATAGATCCCAGGGTATGGCAATGAACAAAACAGATATAGTCTCAACTTCTATATAAAGTTTTTATTCTTGTCAAGGGTAACAAGACAATAAATGAAAAAGTCAAATACTTGGTATAAAGATGAAAATAAGTGTTAAGGTGGAAAATAAAACAGAGGAAGGGGAGAAAGGAGGCTTGGTGAAATACATAGACATATCAGTGGAAGGTTGATTACAGGACACTCACAGATATCAAAATCTTCAGATCCTCAAAGCCCTCATATATAAAAATTTGTGTCTTCAAATAATTTATGCATATCCTTATGCATAACTTAAATAAGCTCTAGATTATTTGTAATACCTGATATAATTTAAATGCTATGTAAGTATTAGTTGTGTTGTATGCTGGAGGGAATAACAATAATCTTTTCAGTAAAAGTTCAAGTTTTTTCCCAAGTATTTTTGATTCATGGTTGGTTGAATCCACAGAATTACCACAAATAAATTTTGTTGTTTATACTTTTTTTTTTTTTTGGTACCGGGGATTGAACTTGGGTCCTTGCGCTTGCAAGATAGGCCACTGAACTGCTGAGGTAAATCCCTGGCTGTGCTATTTTCTAATAGTGGTAGGAACAGAAGGAAACAAATGCTCATTAGGCCAGGGATTTAGCTCAGTGGTGCTGAATCCAGAGACACAGAGGGCTGACTAAGAAGCTGGCCTTTGACCAAAGTCCTGAACTAGATGAGAGAATAGAATGTTTTTCATATATTTCTCTGTTGATAAGGACATTCTAGGGTGAGGAAATAAATGCAAAGTAAATGAAGTAGAAGTGTGCCTGGCATCTTGAAAGAACAGCGGGAAAGCCAAGGTAGATGAGGGAAGACCCTCAGCTAGGCACTGGTGGGCCATATCACACAGGGCCACTCTGGCCTATGTCTTGAATGTGTTAGAAAGCTCTTGAATGGCTTTGGTCTGAAAAGTTTCATGAAGAGATTTACATCATCCTACTTTTTTGTTAAAATAGGTAGGTAAAGATGGTGCAGTAATTAATTAAGAAGTAATTGCAAGAAGAAGGAGGAGGAGGAGGAGGAGAAGCAATTGTAGTGATTGAGTTGAAATAAAATGGGATATTGAACCATGACAGTGGAAATGATGAGAAGTGGTGATATTTTGTATTATCTTTTAAAAATTGAGCCAGTAGGATTTGTAGGAAAGTTGTAGAGAACTAACAAAGAAGACTAATGAGAAATGGTTGGTGAGGGAGGAGAAAACCTGAAGAATCTGTTGATCTATCAGTCAATACAAAAAAGTATTTCAAGGAAGAGGATATGCTCAATAATGACAAATACTATTGTAATATGAAAATCTAACACCAACTATTGAAAAGTTGACCATTAAACCACTAAATTTGTTGATCAGATCTCCACCCTTGTCTCAAAAATCCCTTCCTGAGCTCTGGTATCCCTCCTATGTACTCTTGTTTTATAATGGTGATTGCTTCATTTTTCATTGATAACAATATGATACATTTTGTTACAATTTTCATCCACTTCATGACAACATTTTCGTGATGAACATTTGTGAGGCAGGCAGCAGCACCAATGAGCTAAATCCCTGGCCCAATGAGCCTTTGTTTCAGTCTGTACCTATCACCACAGACTGGATAGCGTATAAACAACAAAATTTATTTATGATAATTCTGGAGGCTGGGAAGTTCAAGATCATGGAGCCAGCATATTCAGTGTCTGGTGAGGGTTGCTGATTGTTTCCAAGATGGCACTTTGTTGTTGTGTCCTCACATGGCAAAAGGAAGCAGGACAAAAGCACCTAGCTACTTCTTTCCTGTCCTGTTATAAGATCACTAATTACCTAAAGTCCTCCACCTCTTAAAGCTGTCACAATTGGGTTTAAATTCCTATTTATGAAATTTGGAGGGACACATACATTCAAACCATAATGCTCTTCTTCATTTGTCATATGTTTTCCCTATTTTTTCTTATACTATATTTGGACAGATTCTGTGCTGATTCTTTTTAGATCATTACTTGTCTTCTATAGGTGAGTTCCTTCTGGTTCAACTATTTGCAGGAAGCATATAGGGGAAAGGGCATAGACCAAAGTTCTAGGCTGGCAAAATTATTTCTTATGCCACAGGGTTGTGTGTATGAGTCCTTGTATCTTTACCTTAGCCATAGAAATTAGTGGTGCATAAAACCTTATAAAATAGATTATATCTCCTCCATAATGTAAAAAGTCCATCTTTTCCTTTCTAACCTCTCTAGCAGACTATTTCTTCCAAACATATCTTGGCAGTATGATTCCTTGTTCATCTTTTCTCTCTGACTTTGAAACTTGATGCTCACAGGAAAGAGCCTGCTGCCATCCTAAATATTACAAACAGGGAATTGTGTTTCTTTTTCTGCCCCTCAAGGTCAAGTCATTGATATTTGGAAAACAGTACTGTACCAGTTGATCCTATGGTCATTGGCCAGAAATCTCTCTCAAGCCTGTTGGCAACTCATGCACATATATTATAATTCAACATTACCACTGTTTTCTAGCTTTATTAAGAAAGGAGTTATATTTCTATCACTCATTCCTTGATATCCTTGCATTATCTCTGTTGGTAGGGACACATGCCATCTTTATGCCACTAAAATTAGCAAATTGTATTCACATTTAAAAATAATATCTGGTGCAGCACAAACATAATTACTACCATTGCATTGTCCATTTGACAAATGTTTCCAAATAGAGTAATCTACAAGTATATTCAATTGCTCTAAACCAGTTGCTTCACTTCTTAGATATTTGTTAAATGTTGCAATGAACTCACAGGCTCAAAATATTTTAGTTGCCTTTTTCAGATGTATTTATTATTGAATATTTACCTTATGTGAAAGCATAGGATTTGCTTAAAATGCTATTAACTGTCATTTAATATGTTATAACAGTAGACATTTGTTTACAGACCATTGTTCTCTCTTGTTTTTTGGGTTTCACTGTGTAGTCCAGTCTGGCCTCAAACTTGCAGTGATCCTCCTGCCTCAGCCTCCCAAGTGCCGGGATTACAAGTGTGCACCACCACACCCAGCTTGCTCTCTTATATAAGCAGATATTTACAGCAATAAAGATTATAGATTTGTGTTTCTAAGCAAACATTATATGTATATTGAATAAATTTAAGTAATTTTTAAATTTACTTTTAGAATGGAATCCCGGCTCTGATAAATCTCTTGACGTTAGACGTAGAAAACGTGCTAGTAAATGTGATGAACTGTATACGTGTATTATGTATACAAAATGAAAATAATCAAAAAGCAGTGAAAGACCATAATGGCATCCAACACCTTATTACATTTCTGCATACTGATTCTGGTGAGCCTCTACCTTTGGGATCTTTTAAAGGAATTAGATTTATTAAGTATATTGATTGATATTCCATGTATGAAAAGTAAGTCTACAAGGCTGGGAAAAAACAAACTAAAACCAACTCAAACTGCATAACTAGATTGAGAAAGAAAAAAGGAATACAAGTAGCTTTTAAACACAGTGCTTTAAATGTGTACCCTTTATTTAAGGGTTACAGAACTTAATACCTCAAACAGATCTTTCATTCTTAGGGGGTTTTATCTTTCATAGTGAAATGGGCAAAACAACTCTGAAGCTGTCTTTGTAAGAACTGTGGGACTGGATAAAAGGAGACATGTATCAATATTATTGGGTTCTTACATGAAAAATAAAAGTGCAGAATGCAAAGACGGTCACAAACCCTGTGGTGTCGGCTGAAACTGGAAGTGTGTGTATATATAAAGGCTCTAGAAGCAGTGATACTGCAAGAGCGATGGGCACACCAGCACTTAAGTCTTGGTTTCTAAAGCCCTCATCAAGAGGAACCACAGCTTCTTGCAGAAAAAGATCGTTGATTCCTGGGTAGGGGCAGAGAAAGGAACGTCATTTTGCGGCAGAGAGTAAGAAAATGCTTTGGTGCGGTGGTGGTGGGTTGTGTCTCAAGGACGCACGGACAACTTCAAGGTCTTCCCACTGGCCACATCTTGAACAGCTTCAGCATCAACGTAAATAATGAAATTAATAGGCTGTCATTCACTGAATGAAATAGAAACGCAGGGCCCCTGAATCTGGAAGGGTAAAATGCTATTATTATTTTTGAAAAGCGATGTGCCAAAATGTACTGAGTTATTTGAGTAATTGTTAGGACTGCGCTAATGGGAAGAAAAAAAAATACACAGATAGGAAGGAAACATCTCACGCGCTAAGGTTTCCCGAGTCTGAAATAACACGTACTTTAAAAGTGTACATGGCTAAGGAAATGTGATGCACCCGTTCGTGGACTGTTTAGAAAACACTGGTACTCCCGAGGGTCAGGAAAATGTTTTAATGGTAAATAATTTGTTCTGTAACCCGTTTGGAAGACGTGCTGCAGGCCGTGTCTTCTGCCACCATCGCTGAGGTTGCCCGTGGCAATAAGGATGTGCAGGACGCTATGGCAGAGGAAGGAGCGATCCCCGCCCTGGTGGCTCTGTTCAAAGGCAAACAACTCAGTGTCCAAACGAAAGGTGCGACGGCCGTGGAATCCCTGGCGAGTTACAACCCTCCGATACAGAAGGCGTTTCTGGAAAATAAATTAACTAAACATCTGTTAAAGCTCCTAAAGGTATGAGTCTTGTCGTTACTCAGATGCCACACTCCACTTTGAATTTTTGGTATAACGGAATACCATGGAATAAACATTCTGTACGATGTGCGTCCCTAAAAGTGACCGCTAAACGTTCACCGGAGGAATTGTATTTTTTCAATAGGCCTTTCAAATAGACATTAAGGAGCAAGGAGCGGCAGCGCTTTGGGCTTTGGCAGGACAAACTCTGAAACAGCAGAAGTACATGGCAGAGCAGATCGGATACAACTTCATAATAAATATGCTTTTGTCACCCTCTGCCAAAATGCAGTACGTTGGTGAGTTTTCCTTCTAAACACAAATCGGCACCATGTAGCAGGACACGGCAGCATCCTAGCTCTTTCTCTTCTTTGCCAGGAGGTGAGGCAGTCATAGCGTTAAGTAAGGACAGCAGAATGCACCAGAATCAAATTTGCGAAGGCAACGGGATCGCCCCGTTGGTTCGCTTACTGAGAATTAATAAGATAGCAGAAAGCACCCTTCTCAGCGTCATCAGAGCTCTGGGCTCCATTTGCATCGGTTCGTACCCTTATTCTCAACTTCTTAAATGTCTGTAAGAGAAAGAAAGGACATAGGTAGAGAAATAGAAATTAATCTCTTCCCTTCCCCCACCATCAGAGCCCTTAACCGTATTTAATCTCTAAAAGATGTGTAGAAAGTTTCTCTAAGACCTTGGTGAGTAAAGCCAGTGTGGTTAAGAATTTTATAACCAGTCTTACCTTGAACTCTGGAGAGAATGGAAAATGAAGACAAACACCTCAATTATTGACTTTAGGAAATCTTATTTTTCAACTTTAAGAGAAAAATATTTTTTCTTTTGGATTCCAAGAACTATATGTGTTTATAGATCTCAAAGTTTCAGTACTGAGGCAAATTTTTCAATTCCAGTCTCTTTCTGTAATAATTCTTTGTTCTAAAGTGGTCTTTTGTCCGTGCATGGCAGTGCACGCCTATGATCCCAGCACTCAGGAGGCTGAGGCAGGAGGATTGCAGCAAGTTTCAGGCCAGCCTGAGCTACAGAGTGAGTCTAAGGCCAGTCTGAATTACAAAGTGAGATCCTGTCTCAAAGACCCCCCCCCAAATAAAAATAAAGTGCTCTTTCTTGTAAAGGAATTGACATTTTTTCGGTGCCTGAAAAATGTGGAAGTGTCAGTAATTGACCTATGCAAAACAAATGTTTGGGTTATTTTCTAACCTTTATGAATGCAGAGGACTGATTATAGACTGTTCTTTACAAACAAGAAGATTTTTATTTCTAAGTCATGTTTCTGTAAAAGTAATGCAGATGAATGAAGAACATAGGAATCCGAACCAAAATTTTCCTTCTCCTCACTTGGAAAACCTACTTCCAGATGTTTATTGCTCTAAGGCATCAGCCACAGAAGACAGCATTCCTTTACTTTTTTTTTTGCCAGACACTATGGTATAAAATGTGCTTATAGAATTTTAGAAATTGACCACATATATGGATGTGTACCTATTCACATATCCATTTTTATACATACAAATTTGCCTCCTATACGTTTACTTGCACCCACACCCACGTCCACACATCACACACAGCTCTCCTCACTAGTTCACTGAAAATCTGTCCATATCAGTTTCGGGTGGAGGAAGGCAAGGAAATAAAAATGCTCTTTACTCCGTCTTCTCCCCCAGTCCCATTACGCTTCCCCAGATAACAAAATGTGGACGGCTTCTCCAAGACATCAGGTGCATTTATATTCAAGTACATAAACCTGTTATACAAGTATTATGAGATTTACTGGTGAAAAAAAAAAAACCCATAACAAATTAAAATTGCTTGTGTATATCTACTGAGATGTCCAGAGTTTTTTGTTTTTGTTTTTTTTACGAGTTTTTTATGACCATAAGCTTTTCTGAGGGACATAACAACTACAACTACCTCAATAAATGGTACTACTATTACCATTCCTTGAAAATGTAAGATTTTTCTAATTTATTTGCTATACTAGAAATCCATTCACAATTCTAATAATAAAATGTCCATATTTAGTCACTGTGCTTCTTAAGAAATTCGTATAGAACTATTAAAATAGTGCCAAGATAGCATTTACTTTGGATTTATTATTGATATTACCTTAAGACAATCCAATAATCAAGCTGTATTTGACTTCACCATTTGTAAGGTTTAAAAATGGACTCATTGACATGTAGATTTTTGTAGGTGTAGCCCACACAAGCAATCCGGTTAGTCAGCAGTCTATTGTGGATGAAAACGCCTTTCCAGTCCTCATCCAGCTCCTGAGGGATCACCCTTCGCCTACCATTAAGGTTGACATCGAGGTTTAAATGTTTTAGTACAATCAAAGTAATATACATGTCATTTTAAGGATAATCAGTATCTTAATGCAAGTTCACAAACATAAAAATTTCACCTTGTAAGGTTTGCCTAAAACCTTTTGTTTTAAACAAAAAGGTACTGTAAATGTAGTAAATTTTATTAAAAATATGATTCCTTCAAATATGACAAGAAAGTCTTAGGTCATTATGCTTGAAAGGAAAAATTTCTTCAGATATTTAATCATATATTTGCAGAACATCTTCTTGATGTAGGGGAAGGAGGAGGGATAGGAGAAAAGAAAGAAGGGAAAAGAAAAAATATGAGAAAAGGGAAAAAATGGGAACAAAGTCTTTGTAAATAGGGAGGGTGGAGGGGGTGAAAGGAGGGCAGGGAATGGGGAAAACAAGAACCAAGATACGTCATGTAAAGGTACAGGATACCAATGATGAATGGGACTGTATTGCTTACCTTAAATGTACCAATAAACTTAAAAAAAAAAAACTTCTTTACTTCCTCAGGTAGTGACTATTAGAGCTGGGTGGGGCTGCTAAGGGGAGGCCCTCCCCTGGCAGTATTTTCTCAAAGACGAGTAAACACTGTCAGTAGGGTGCCATCCAAGCAGCCCCTCGGTCTGGCCCAGCAAATGTTCATTATGAAAGGGTGACATAGGTTATGTGGTCCTTCTGGACAAAAAGAGATTATTAGAAGAGTTGATTAGGGAAACACAAGGAAGAAATATGCCAGCAATAGTTTGGCTTAAATTACAATTAAAAACTACACTGAGCTTCTCTGTATGAGCAAATTTCTTAAAACTATGGAAAAGTGCCAGGAAAAATACGTTTTATTTTAAAATGTGCATTTTCATGTCAAAACAGTTTACTCTGTCCATCTATATTTCAGTATATATTTTCAGTACTTTGCTGCAAAATAAGATTCTATAGTGGACCAAACATTTCACAATAATTCAATAATCATGCTTTTCAAATTCTTTTAAAACACTTAGATCTGAGTCCCGATAATATACAAGGCTCACGTTCTAATGAGTCTCCGAATACACACTAAATGACTCAAAATCTAGAGAAGAAACACAACTATTTCTTAATTTACCAAGCTCTGCTTAAATTAATAGGCATTCCACTAAATTGGTACAACTTGATGATCAGTAGCCAACAAGAAATTCCAAACAGCTTTCTAACCCAGGCCAGAAAACGTTCAAAAACACTTTTTTTAGACATGGAAGGAATACAGCTGTCTACTTAGGATCAGAGTTCCTTCTGTGCCCTGCTCACCCTGCTGGGCTCCCCTTGGGCCCACAGATGGAGCTCTGCAGTTAACCCTGTGCAAAGAAGGAAGGATATTTTCCAGCTGCTGAAAATTTTGAACACGGTTCCTTCACAAGTTGTTACTCTTTACTGATCAGAGAACTAGAATGAATGTATTAGTGTTCGGCAGATTTTACAGTGTCTGTCTTCTGAAATATATCCTGTATAAATGTTTATACAATGAAGGAAAAATAATATCTGAAAAACCACATGTTTAGGTTGAAGTGGCGTTCTCCTTGGCTTGCATTGTCCTCAGGAATGATGCATTACAGAAGGAATTACAAGACAAGCAAGGGTTCAAGTATTCTGATGTCCTCTATCTTCTTCATTCAACAGATAAGGTAAAACCTTTACAAAATATTTGAGCTCACTGAGAAGAGAACAGTTTTTAGACCACATTCTCAAATTATCATCAAGCCTCTCTTGTGGCACTTGTCAAACATATAATTTGAGAGAAGAAATGTAAAAGATCTCCTTGTAGCTCACTAATTTGGGATTACAGGTGTGCTATTTACAATAATACATACTTTTTGTAGTTGTGCCCTTTTATCTTTGAAATGCGTTAAAGTGGTCATCTTCCACACTCACACTTCACTGTAAAGTTCTGTTTTTCCCTTTATAATTAACAAGTGTCTTACTGGGAGACTTTGAGACTATGCAAATGTAGTTCTCTATCATCCTTTTGCTCACGGATTTCTGCATCCATTGATACAACAATTAATGTGACATTTGCCTAAAGGTGATTTTAAAGAAGACTTTCCTTCTTCCCTTATATTTACCAAGTGCTATTCAAGTATAAGGAAGGGTTGTTCCTTTTAAACATTTATTCTCGGTTCCTGCTACCCTGTTGCCAAAGTGTCGTGGACTGCCGTGGGCCCATGGCTTGCACTGTGAATAGCACTCTTCAGAAGAATTGGGAGCCACTGTCGTCTAGGATATTTTGCATTGAGGAAGAATATTGCACTTTCTCTCAGTTCCGTAAAATTTTTAGAGGGACATAGGAGGGTATAGAGGGTGAAGTTACGTTATTTTCTATAGCACATAAATGTTAGAGAAATGCTAAAAATGTGGGAACAGGGTGAGGAGACTGAATTCATGTGTGATTCTCTAAGCCACCTTTCGGCCTCCCCTCTCCCTTCCTAATGTTTTACCCTGCCCCTCATGTGCACGCGTCTTTCCCACTCTCTTCTACATGTGCTACTCACAAGCATGACCCCTTCCTTCCCAGGCTGTCAGCATCCGCTTCGCTCCCTGGACACCCTGTGTTTGGCTCTTAATAGCTACTTCAGTTCTACAGATGTAGCGAATCCTAGAAAAATAGAAGGTTTAGGGGTAAACCAAAGGATTTATCTGGTCGTGGTCAGAATGTTTAGGACTAAGAATCCTCTAGGGTGTATTCTATACTCTGTAGTAAATTTGTGTCCCAGTACTTCCTCTGGTTGCGCATTAGTATTAGTGCTTAGTGTGGTTCTTAATTACAGCGAGAGGCTTACACAGACATGTCGTAGGATTTAAGAGAGGAGAAGGGAAAGCTCAGTAACTAAATAGGTCACTGAGTAAGTAGCTATCTCACAGCTAACGACTAAGAATGCAACAAAAATTAAATCAGCCCAGATTGTGGAAACTGGGACCCACACTGACCCTGCCTATAAGGGAAATGCAATAGATTTGTAACTTTTGTTTTATTTTATTTTTTTCAGGGTAGGGGATTGGACCCAGGGTTTCAGATGCTAGGCAAGTGCTCTATCACTGAGTTTTGTGGGTTTAAATGATATTTTTTTTCATACTATGAAGTTAAATTCTTAAAGAAGTGAGACTAATTCTCACAAGACACATAAAATTAGCCCTATTGTTACTGTTATTTTACTCATTGTAAGACACAGCTTAAGTGATTATAACGATAATTTTGAAAAGATGTAAGCATAAATTATAGGTACTCTCCTCCCATTTAGAAATGGTAGTGGGTATAAAGGAAAAATAAGTAACTAGTTGGTACAACCACCAAGGAAGGTTGGTAAATGAAAGAATATGTCAAGTTGAAGGTGTTGGTAGTTGGCATTCAGGAAGAAAATTGGAAAAATATGTTCCTAATTTTTAGCCCTCCTGAGAAGGAGTAGCCAACATTTTTCTGTCTTAAGTCTGGTACTCGTTGGCAGCGTAGGAGTTGCCAGGCTGTGAGCTTTACTTTGGAACATAACTGGCCAGACACCTCATAAACTAAACTACTTTGTTTATTGTAGACTTCCAGGAACGAGGCAGCAAAACCTGCATGGAAAAGAAGTGGAATGGGTGAAGTCGTAGCTCACTTCTGTCTCTCCCCTGTCCCTGACCAGAATACACAAGGCGTGGCCCCTGGGCTCATTTCTTATCTCCCATCTTCTCCGTGGCTCAAGGTCCTATTTTGCAGTCAGTCAGCCTGTCCTTTGACCATAGCAGAGACCAGTTCCTTATGTCTTTGCTGGCACCTAACACCTTCCCTCTGGCCCGTGGCTCCAGCGCTACTCTGTGCCTATGAGTGTGTAATTGTCACTACGGAAACTTTCAAGCATGTTAATTTATACAAAGGGAAAATACTGCAACAAATTTAACTATTCCATGACCCAGTGTCAGTGATTATGAACTCAGCCAAACTTATTTCATTTATAACTCTACTTACTTCTAGTTCGGTATACACATAATAGCATATTAATATAATGATTAGCCGGGTGTGGTGGTGCACACCTGTAATCCCAGCACTTGGGAGGCTGAGGCAGGAGGATCACTGTGAGTTTGAGACCAGCCTGGGCTACATAGTGAGTTCCAGGTCAGTCTCAACTACATAGTGAGACCCCATCTCAAAAAACAAATAAACAAAAAAATAGGATATAATGATTGATAGTGGCAAAAGAAAAATTCACTAAAATTAATGAGCTATCTCTGTCCTATACTATACTGTTAAAACAAAATGTTAATATCAGTAAATTACTTTTAATGTTAAAATAAGATACTTGTACAACTTAGGCAAGCAGACTGCCCATAAGAGAGAAATTGCCATTTGCTCATTCTGCAAGTGTTAAAATGAGGTTCTTAAAAGTTAATAGTTTTTCTCCTCTTCCTCTGTATAATATAGTATATTAAAATTTCACAATAGAATTTACTTAGAGACAACGTCATCTCTTATTGCATGAAATGCAATAATAGTATGCTATACAAGGGAGGTTTTGATTTATTAACTCTATTTTGAAATCTTCAAATGAAAATAAAAGTATGTTGCACCAATGAGTTGAAGGTTGATGAAAGTTTCCTTTTAACTAACTGATTATTCATTTGCTTAGTCAGTAAGCTGAGATTTTCTTTGAAAATGAACATGTTTTCTCTTCTTCTTGCAACAACCTAGCTCACTTCATTTTATCTGTTCAGTAACACTCTGTTATTTGTTTTTCCCAAGAATATATTTTTCTCCCAAGAATAAAATATATTTTAGTGGCCAAGAATTTAAAACCTATTATTCTGATTAATAGGACAAATGAAGCAAGTTAAACAAAATACACATTTCTCTTTCTAGGATATTTGCTTAAGAGCTGGCTATGCATTAACCCTTTTTGCCTTCAATAATCGATTTCAACAATACCTAATATTAGAAAGTGGAAAAATCACCATATCTATTTTTGAACATTTCCTTGAATCAACAATTGAAACAGAGAAGGCAATGGCAGCGTTTCAGGTATAAAATAAAAGTTAATACTGCAAGTTCCTAAGCATAATTTTAGTGGAAAATTAAAAATAAACCAGTATTCTGATTTGAAAAACTTAGTACTTCACACATTAGGCCCCTGTACCTCATAAGGCTCCACTCTGGGGATTTCTTCATTTGTGAAGTTACAGGGCACTTTTGCCTTTATTCCTTATCTAATACCTATAAAAAAACCTGTGAGGGCCGAGGATTTCGCTCAGTGGATCCACCGCCTGCCTCTCAAGCTCAAGACCCGAGTTCTATCGCCGGTACCAAAAAAACACAAAAAACAAAACAAAAAATTCCCTGTGAGGTTGATAAGCAGATGCTATTAGTCTCATTGCCCCGTATTATAAGGAAATGAGTTCTATCGCCGGTACCAAAAAAACACAAAAAACAAAACAAAAAAATTCCCTGTGAGGTTGATAAGCAGATGCTATTAGTCTCATTGCCCCGTATTATAAGGAAATAAATAGAGAAAGATGGTAGTGTCCATGGCAAGTTTTCTGGGCTGGGGATTTAGCTCAGTGGTTCCGCTGCCTGCTTCGAAAGCACAAGTTCCGAGTTCAATCCGTGGTGCCCAAACCAAGAAACAACAAAACCAAGACAAGTTTTCTAACTGCAGACCTTTAGCTGATCACATTCTTTCTTCAACCCTATAGTAATCATATGTATTTGGGGTCTTATTTTGTCTTCGTTTTCATTTTATTTTTTTATTTTTTGGTATCAGGGATCGAATTTGGACCTTGCGCTTGCAAGGCAAGTGGCAGAACCACTGAGCTAAATCCCTGGCCCTTCATTTTCTATCCTATAATTTTTAAAATTACTTGCTAAGAACATATACCTTCAAGGATGCAAAATTTACAACACTGTAGGAAGAATATACAGCCTATTACAGTCATTGCTCTTATTGGTTAGGGGCAAGTACTCTAACCTCTCACTGCTACTACTCGCTTCTTTTATTGAATCCCATCAAATACCCCTTTACCCTCCTAAGAAATATTCCTTACAGGTTAGGGATGTAGCTCAGTGACACCACGCCTGCCTGAAAAGCACAAGGTCCTGAGTTTGATCCTGGTACTGGAAAAGAAAATTTTCTTCCCACCAAATAACAAGTTTAGAGGAGCTGAAGAGAAAAATGTTCAATGATTCTATTCATCTGTTTCTTTTTTAGATTATTGTGTTAGCTAAAGTCATCATAGATGTGGACCATATTACTTTGTCTGCAAGAGGTGTTACTATTTTAGTTAACAGTCTGTACTCAGATCAGCATATTACTATCATCTTGGCAGGTAAGACAAGACTAGCGCAAACTGTATACACACAAAACTATTTCCAAAATGTTTTTCTTTTTTTTTTTTTTTTTTTTTAATTTATTTGGAGCAGTAGTAAAATAACAAGCCCGATCCTGTGTCACACAAGTTGAGAAATGAACTCACGTAAATATATGGAACTCCAGCACTAGTCTACATATAACAGTGGACATCCACACTGCTCCCTGAACAGGAGCCCTTGACTCTAAACCTGGCCTGTTCAGCTTTTCTAATTACTTTTCAAACCCCCAATTGTTTTTTCCAGGATATGAAGAATTCCACTGTGAACTACCAACAACAAGATGTACACACTGACTTATACCAGTAGTAGAAGACTGGCACTGATGTTTTTCTGTCCGGTCTACTTTGGACACATCGCGCACATTTTTGCTAGTATTTAAGTGTTCTCTGTGTTGCCCTGCAACATAGCAAATTAAAATGGCCCAACAGAGTTCCTGACACAGTATTAATTCAGTAACTTCATCTGTGCCAGGCCAGCTCATACCAAATTGGTGACTAGTAATGGTTACATGATTGGACATATCACTCCCGAAGAAAGCAACATAAAAGTGTCAGAATGACAGTTGATAACTAACAATAAGTAAATTTTTTTCTATAGTGAAATAGGCCACTGATGAGAATAAAAGAAATTCCATCTGTATCATAAAATTACATTATTATGGAGTATATTTTCATGGCAAGGAAAAAAAGTTAAGCAAATGAAGATTCTGATGAAGACTAGCTAGGGAAATTCAGGGTCATAGTAATTGTGACTCTGAGAAACAGTTGCAGTGGGTTTACCTTTTGTGCATGAAATGCCGTATTGTATACACCTGCTTGTGGATGTTAACTTCCACCGTCTGGAGAGAACTGAATCCCAAAAGTCACTGGCCCTTCTCTGCTCTCTGGTACCGTAGTCCTATGCATGTCCAGTCACAGCATATCCAGGCACCTCAGGCTGGCAGGACAATCAGGCCTCAGGAACAGTGTAAGACCACCTGTGCTCGGTGTCCAAGCTGACGTGATTCCCAGAAGGGGCTCCAAAGGCACAGAAATTTTGCAGAGACTGGGATTTCTGTTGCCAAGGGTCAAGTTTTCCTATGTGTGTCTATCTTTTAGCTTCTCTCCAAAGTTCCTGCTCCTACTCTTTTGAGTACTATGAAAGTAAGTCCTTCCTACTTTTTCTGCCCCTCTCATGTGTTTCCCAACTCTTGCTTCTCCACTTTAAAGGCATCTTTTTAACTTCACAAAGAGGTTACCTTTTGGCATTTTTTGCTTTCCACACAACCCAGCCTTCTCCAACTAAGGGAGAATTCCCCGACTTGTTTTAGAGGCCAGGAAGAAGTACAAGAGAACAAAAATTCAATTTGTTATCTAAATATAGTATCCACCCACAAATGTAAAAATACATTTATATCTTAAAATATGAATGAAATTGTATTAAGTTGATGGCTACACAATTACTTTAATTATTGAGTCTCTGTCATTTTCAGTCCCAATACACCTTTTTTATGGTCAAGACATTAGTGATGTTAAATTTTAATAAGCAATACATTCTTTGATTCTATAATATTGCTAAAGTTCTAAAATCATTTGAACTGCAGAAAGAACATTGTTGTCCTCTGTGAGTCCGCTCACGGAACAAGGTTTGGGAGCTCGGACTGGGAGGGTAAGGCGAGGAATCACCAGGCAGACTCCGGGGAGGTTTCTGGAACGCTTCCACTTTATTCAGGAAATGCACAGGCTTATATAGCTTATGTGTGGACAACCATGGGGGAGGAGCATGGGAGGAGCATTAACATTTGGCGAATTCTTATTGGAGACACAGTGATTTTTCTTGGGCGAGGAGAAGGAGTCACGGACTAGGGGCGGAGGTGCAGCCTGTTGGACCCAGAGTCTACGCGCTTAGATGAGTTAGTTCAGCCTTAGCAAGGTCTCTGAGTTAACTCAGGAAATAGGAGTGCGGCGCAGCTGGCCCAGCCAGGCTTGAACTTCTCCCACAAGAACATACTAAATTTTCTTATGACGTTCAATCATTACTTTGTCATTTAAAAAAAAAACCCTCAAAGCAAAATGTTTGGAGGAACCAAAAGAAGCCTCTGGTTTTTAAAATATTCCTACTCTTAAAATACTTATTTTTATTGTTTGTGTCGGAAAACCAAACCATAATTTTTGGAAAAGTTTACTCATTTATATACATATGCTTTTTCTGATTTCTTCATTTACCAGAGAGGTAAAAGCTATATACAAATTAACAAAAGCACAGCATATTAACATTTAAATGATTCAATCATGTTTTCTTGTTTAATTCATAGGGAATTTAATAGGTAGCCTGGCTCACTCTAGAGCTGATATTCCAGAAGCATTTACTACGTTAGGAACAATCCAACGACTTTGCTACCATTTGTACTCAGGAAGAGAAGAGGTAAAAACAAAACTAATTATAAAATTGAATATTCTAAAGTAGTATAAACTGTGGCACTTGTCCCAGGCAACGCATAGCATGTGAGAGGCTGGTGCTGCAGGTGGTAAAAAGAATTTACCAATAGTACAGTAATGTAGAAAAGTGAAGAGTTTATTGATCCACTGCAAGAGAGCAGTGGGTAAGTCAGTGGGCAAGTCCAAGAGGATGGCACTGTCGGGGGGGAAAGCTGACATTTTTTTTTTTTTTTTTGGTACCAGGGATCAAACTCAGGACCTTGGGCTTGCAAGGCAGGTGGCAGAACCACTGAGCTAAATCCTCAGCCCATGGCTGAGATTTTTATGTTTGATTTTCACATCATTCCAGGGACACTTCCTTCAGGTTTGTGGTTGCTCGGTTGTCAGGATAGCCTGGTGTTATTTGAAGACTGAGTAATGTTTTATTCAAAAGGATCCAGTGCCCTGGGCTTAGATAGAAAGCCCTTCTGGATAAAATTCATGAACAAATCATGGAATCAGAATAAACTATATATTTGTATTTTAATGGGACTTGTGATGTTACAATCAGATAAGGGAAGAAACGGTATTCTTTAAGATATGACAAGTGATTAGCTATCTAGTGATGGATGTGTAGTTTTTGGGCGTAGTTTACAAGGTGTTAAGTTAATGTTCTATTTCACATTAATCACTCAGTGGCAGTGTAGCCTTTAAAGAAACTGTGGGAAAATAACCATGACTTCCCACACCTCTATGAAATTTCTCCTCAGGTTGGCTGTTATACAATATAGTTTGTGTTGTTATCTCAAAATTAGAAGGATTTTCTAGAACTAAGTAGTCATATTGGCCATCCACCATTCTGATTCCTACAAATAGTGTACCTTTGCTTTAACTCCAAGACTTAAATAGGACTTTAGTTACAAAAGCAGTGCAACAACTATAATTAATTTAAAAAAGAACTACCTATTCAAACTAGTCTCCAAAGTGACAATCATAAATATATATGCACCAAATAATAATGCCCAAACTATATAAAACAAAGATTAATGGATATTAAAAATGAAATAAGCACTAATACAATTATAGGGGGGAACTCAATACTCCACTGACACAAATAGAAAAATCATCTAGACAAATCAACAATGAATAACAGAACTGAACCAAGTCTTAAAACAAACGGACTTAGTACTACTGAGCCACAAAGAATGAGAAACTGGAAACATTTATAGCTCAATGGATGTACAATGAGGCCATACTTTTCAGTTCAATAAATAGGACACACTCGAGTAAATACCAAATAGTTTCTCTGGTGTGAAGAACTAAAAGTGTAGATAAGTTTTGAATGGTATGATCGAGAGTGTGAAATAGGAAGAAAATGGCTAAAGGAGAAGTGGGAAGGGGAGGGGAAAGAAAATAAAGGAAAAGAAAAAATGTGAAAAAAGGAAAAAATGGCAACAAAATCTTTGCAAATAGCGAAGGGTGAAGGGGGTGAAGGGAGGGCAGGGGTATGGGGAAAAAACAAGAATCAATACCTGTCATGTAAAGATACAAGATCTCAATGATAAATATAACTGTATTGTTCGCTTTAAATGTACCGATAAACTTAATGCGAAAAAAGTCTCCAAATTAAAAATCAAAAAAACAAGGGCTGGGGATTTAGCTCAGCGGTTCGGTGGCCTGCCTTGCAAGCGCAAGGACCCAAGTTCAATCCCTGGTACCACCCCCCCCAAAAAAAAAACCAACAACAAAAAAGGAAAACCCTGTGAAATTAGTCATCTTAATGCTGGAATTGATTCATGCCATGAATAAATACATTGATGACATAGAAATTTATAATTGAAGTGTTTATGAAGTATCTCACAAGGAGAATCCACAGGACAGTCTTCTCGACCCGTTGAGCAGGCTTAGAGGTGAGGATATGTGGAAGAGGCCATGTTGGCCATGGCAATGGTTTGCTTCTGAGTGTTCCCCCTTCTTCTTCTAAGGGCTAAAGCAGTTATTTCTCCAACTTTAGGCATACCAGAATTACCTGAAAGACTTCAGGGCCCCGTTCCCAGAATTCTTGGCTCAGTACATCTGAGGTGGACCCCAGGCACTGTATTTCTAACAAGCTCTGAGCAGCTAGAGATGTTGATCCAGGAGCCACACAATGAAAACAGAGCCACAAGTTCAAGGAGTGGAAGACACATGGGCTTATAGAGCAGCTGGATGCCAATTACACTAACCTGTCAACTCTTTGGAACCATGAATGAGTCTGGATTTTTGTTCATTTTATTAAATTTTCTATGCTACCAGTTATCCAGATTTCTATCTGCTGCCCAGGTGTACACACTCTATGAACAACCTCATTACTTAAATCATAGGCAAAGCATATTTCTTTTAAAGAATGAATACTTTTCCTAGAGTCCTGTGGCCTAATATCAGCTTCTTTGTTCTCAGCATAAAACAGTGCTTACCTATTTTGGCCTACTTTGGGCCTTTTATCTCTTAAGTTTCCTTTGACAATCACCTCAGCAGTTTCGAAAAGCCCTGAAGCCCAGGCTGCACCCTAGGATAATTACGTGAATTTCTAGAGGTGAAACTAAGGCATAAAGGCCAAAGCTATTCAGGTGATTCTAATGCACAGCCAAGGCTGAACTTTCAAAGGTTTTATTTCAAAGGTTCTTACTTTGGCGTTACATTAAAAATAATAACCGGTGGCACTGATTCACATTTAACTGGTGGACACCTGTTTAATACTTTTGGTGATTCTAGAATGTAGTCAGGATTGCTAACTATTACACATCAATGACAGTGGACAGTCTTCTTTAAAAGATGTGGTTGTTATGTCCAACTAAAAATAGACATCAGTTTACATACAAACATGTTGTACCTATCTATTCGCCTATGAAGTGGTTAATTGGAGTACTGGTTAGATATTTTAAGAACAAAGCTCACTGGTTAAGATAGAATTGTTTCTTCTTTACTTAGGTTCGCACAGCATGCTCCTGTGCTCTTGGATACTTAACTTACAATGCAAGTGGTTTCCGCATTCTGTTAAAAGAATGCAGGAATAAACCTAATCAGTTCCTCCGTATAAGAAATAATATCAGCAGAGATGCAAGTATTAATCCAGCATTTTTAAAGGAGTTTCAAATGCAACAAATGATTGGACTTCCTTCTTTAAGGTACTGTGCCCATATTTGAAGTTGTAATAGTGAATTACTGATCCAGGAGAATTGATGAAAATTCAGGGAAGATCACATATGGAAAGGTATCTTTTTTTAAATTTCCTGGTACTGGGGAATGAATTCGGGACCTCGTGCTGGCAAGGCAGGCATGCCACTGAGCTAAATCCCCAGCCCCAGGGAGGCATCTTTGATACGAACCTATCCTTTGTATTCTGAAGGCTAAACTTTATTCTCAACAGTCAATGCCAAAGTCTGTTATGATAAGGGCTTGCTATGTTTCCCAAGTTGACCTGGAACTCCTGAACTGAAGCTATCTTCCTGCCTCAGCCTTCCCAGTAGATGGAACTAGAGATATAGCTCACTATGCCTATCTCAAAACCTGTTTTAATTCCAGCTCAGTATCACAACTGTGGGCACAGATAAAAATACAGTATCTTGGGGACCCTGTTTGGCCAGACCATTTTATAGTTCTTGCAAGGCTGACTGAATCCATGTCTGATCCAAGAATGTTTTTCATTAAACTAGAAATATATTTGAGGATTTTGAGTTAAGTAGGAACATGGCCATGAGTTTAGCCTCATATGTGTCTTCTGGACTTGATCCAAAACTAGGCAAACCCCCAAGCTGGAAAAACAGCTCAAGCAGACCCATATGTGGAGTCCTTGTGAAGTTCGCCAGGCATTCTCTCAGAGGGTTTGCTTCAATGTAATTCTGAAAACTCAAGTCCCTGAAAAAGCAGAAAAGGGAAGAACATCTCCGTGCTCTAGGCACATTTTCTCTTCTTATATAGATGTAGCTGAATTATAAGTCTTCTCTGCAAGTAGTGATATTCATACAAAAGAAATGGGACTATTTAAGGTGTGAGGTGTAAAAAAAATATGGTGCTTAAAAGATAAAAAATTTTACAGTAGAAGACACATGCCATTAATTTCCCTCAAAATACTCTCCCCGTTTTTAGACACACTTCCCTTTGTGATGCTTCAAGCAGTTCTGGAAGTCTTCTTTAACCATGCTGTTGTGGCTGGCTTGGTGTCCTGAGTGAGTTCAAAAATAATTCGATTTCATGGTCATTGTTTTTTGACTCTGGAGAAGAACCAGAAGTCACAAGGGGCCAGATCCAGTGAATAAAGTGGATGAAAACACAAGGGAATTTTTTCGGGCTCTGTATTTCCATAGGATGGCACTCAGCAGAGCATTCAAAAGACAGGAAAGAAGACTTCCAGAATTGCTTCAAAAGTGACAAGAATGATGGGATGTGTTTAAAGGGAGGGGAATGTTCTGGGGAACTAATGGCCATGTGTCTTTTACCATAACAAAATTTTCAATTTAAATATTTACCATATTTTTAATCACATATACTATGAGCTCCATGATAATAGGATCAAATTACAAAGATGAGTGCATCTGTTGTGGTTTTGATCTAAGATGTCCCCCCAAACTCTCACATGTTCAGAGATGGAGGTCTAGAAGGTGATTGGATTATGATTAATCCAATGTTGAGTTCATAGTTGAATGAATGCTTTTAGGAGGTGGTAGGTCACAGGGGTGTGAATTGGAAGGGTATATTCTTGTCCCTAGTTTCTTCCTTCTCTTCCTGCTTCCTGGCTGTCATGGGTCGAACAACTTTATTCCACCACACTGTTTCTGCTTTGTAGCCAGCTAACCACGGACTGCATGAACCCTCTAAAAATGTGAGCAAAAATAAACCTTTTCTTTTTTAAGCTGTGTCAGGTATTTTGTCCCAGTGATGGGAAAATGAATAACAGAATACTTTTAGAGTCCCTTTAATTCTTGGAAAAACTTAAAATCAAAAATTGATTACTAAATTGTATATAAAGCCACAAAATGTAAACTTTTTTTTTTTTTTTTTTTGGTACCGGGGATCGAACTCTGGTCCTTGTGCTTGTGAGGCAGGTGGTGGCGCCACTGAGCTAAATCCCCAACCCCCACAAAGTGTAAACTCTAATTGCTACAACTGTCAACGTTAAATATTTTTTGGTTCAAAAGATTAATTTAGGATAAATAAGTGGTACTTTCAACCATTCCCTCAGTTAGCTTAAATAGCAAATTCGTGGGAATTGCAAAGATGTGCTGCTTTCTCAGATGTTTCCTTTAGAACCCAGCTGTATTTGTGACTTTTTCTTTGTGGAGACAATGGACCCAATGTCTACACAACCTAAAGGAGCCAGTGGTTTATTTTGGCTCACGGTTTCAATAGGTTCAGTCCATGGTTTGCTGGCTCCAGCGCAGAAATACGATACAAGGGCCTGGCAGACGAAAGGTGCTCATCCCGTGGCAGCCAGGAGACAGCAGGGAAACCGAACTCAAGTAAAACGGTCCAGGGGTCAGATATGCTGCCTGAGGTCATGCCGCCATGGCCCACCCAGGCACACCTAGGAAGTGTGCTTTACGAACTGCCTACATGGCTCTCAATCCAGTTGACCTTCCAGTTTAACTGTTACACAAGATGGTGTCTCTTCTTCCTATCACTTCAAGCACATTTAATGTTCCTACTGTTAGGAGTGCCTAGTACCTGGAAAATGTCTCCATATATTTCTTCACTATGTCTTCACTTATCTTATGATTTAAAATGTTTTCCTTTTAGTCTGGAGAAGAATGGAGGTCCTTCCATAAATCCTGTCTTTAAAAAAGGTAACTATTTTTTCTTTTATTTTTGAGGTAGCTCTGGCTTTTATTTTGCTTTTTGAGACAAAGTCTCACTACGTAGCCAGGCTGTCCTTGAACTCCCAGCAATCCTCCTGCCTCAGCCTCCCAAGGGCTGGGATTATGCCTGGCTAGCTGTGGCATTTTATAATTTCGTTTCACTTCTAAAAATCGGAAATGCAGAGGCACCCGGAAAACCCTTTTTTATCTATAAATTTTTCTTTTGCCTTCCATATTTAAATCCCCAAGAACAATTTCTTACAAGGCCTTCCCTACTAATATGATTTGCCAGAGATTACTTTCTTTGGTTTTTCTTAAGCCAATCATAGAAATGTCATTAAACAACGTGGATGCCTTAATGATCTTGCTATTGTTCTATTTCATGTACAACTGTCTGTAATTTTAGAACAGAGACCATCACTGATATGCTATACAGTTTTGTACATAGTTAAAAGCTGCATGACCCAGGTCTGAGGAAATAAGAGTCTAGATCCTATTACTCCTTCCTATTAGACTTTTAATGGGAAATATAAATTACTTATTAACATCATTCATGTATATACTTGTTCATGTGTGCTTAATGAAGGGTCAAACTTGGTTTTACTAGGTATGTTGTCCTACAGTCCACAGGACAGACCTATTCAGTCAAAATCAGTTAGGGAGAGAGTCAAAAGGAGGGACTTCATTTATTCAGGGAGTATTTGCAGCAAGCTAGGTGTGGTATGCTGTATTTCTGAATATCATGGATAGAAGAGTATTTTTTCTATAGCTTTTTAATAAAAGAATATTTTATGCAAAGGGTAAAATCAGTCCAACTCTTTCTTCACATTAATAATGGTTTCTTTTTTTGGTACCGGGGTTCAAACTCAGGTCCTTGCGCTTGCAAGGCAGGCCACCAAACCACTGAGCTAAGTCCCCGGCCCTAATAATGGTTTCTAACAACAATATATAAGCAGTAATTGTCTGGCAAAATTTGTACAGGTTTATAGAAATTTAAGAAAAAATAAGGCCGATATAGGAAATTTCTGATAAAATTCCACAAAACGTCAAGTTGGTAATTTTAAGATAATGTCTTTTACATTTTTTGTTGGTATTAAAATATTCATTATTTTACCAAATTATGTTCAAAGTAGTTGGCATTTGTTTTTCATTAAGGATAATTTGGCATAATAAAAAAGCTGGGTCTCTAAAAAATTTTGGGTCTCTCATACCTAAAGGTCTGTGAACTAATGAACTGTTTTCTTAGCATGTTTAGTTATGTATAAAACAGTATGTAAAACTGGAAGTAGTGAGACTATACCTTAGGACTCTTAGGTTTAAGAGATATTTAACTGTGGTCCTTTTACTTTTAGGGAAACAGCATCAAAGAAAATCAAAACCTATTCAACCAAGAGATTCTTTGACTTTAATACCTCCCGTAACTAACTTCATGGGACTCTTCAAAATGACAAAAGAGAGCAACATTTCTCATAATATTTTTTCTTTTTCATCTGCAATTTCATCAGACATCATAAATGTATCGAGACCAAGAATAGTGTATTTTAACCAACTTGGAAAACAGGAACGAAAAGGCAACCCAGAGCCTGGAGAAGGGTAATAAAAATAGGATCTTAGTATGAAAAGATTCTGAGCAATCTTCTTAAAAATTTTTTAAATTATGGTAAAATACATATAACATAATGAAGCAATCTTTTTGAATGGAAATTCTTGATACTGACACTAAATAGATTTTCCTTAGCATGTATACTAGAATTTAACACAGGTCAGAGTTATGGTTTTAAAACTAAGTAGAATTTCTCTAATAGAAAGCCTGCATGTAAACCTATTACTATTTTTTATCTGACACATACATCTCTCAAAAATTAAAATGATATATCTCAAGAATTAGAAGTATTTTTGAGGCCAGGCGTGGTAGCACATGCCTGTAATCCCAGCACTCGGGAGGCTGAGGCAGGAGGATTGCTGTGAGTTCAAGACAAGCCTGAGCTACATAGTGAGTTCCAGGTCAGTCTCAACTACAGAGTGAGACCCTATCTCAAAAAACAAACAAAACAAAACAAACAAACAAAAATATATATATATTTAATTGGTATGCTAAGTTAGAGGCCTGATTCAATGTATCCCACATATTAGCACTCATTTTAATACCTCCAGGATAAATATTACAAACACATGAGACTTTTAAAACCTGAAATGTATGCTACTTTTAAAACATTTTCTTAGGGCCAGGGATTTAGCTCAGTGGTGCCGTGCCTGTCTTGCAAATGCAGGGTCCCAAGTTTGGTCCCCAGTACTACAAAAAACAAAAAAAATTTAAAAATAAAAAATAAAATCTGACATTAGGGCCAGGGATTTAGCTCAGCAGTTCTGCTGCCTGCCTTGCAAGTGCAAGGACTGGAGTTCGATCCCCAGTACCAAAAAAAAAACAAAACAGAACAGAACAAAACACAAGCTGACATTACTGTTTATCAGGTACACAAGCATGGTTACAAAATGTGGCCTCCAGTGTTGACCGTATTCCACGTGTACACAGTGTCTTTGGTTTGGAACCAGAAAGAGTGATACGCTTTATGGCGTTTAACTACACGATGTCTTTACTCAGGCAGCCCTGCTCCCCACCAGGTGCCTGCTTCCCCTTCACAGTGGCAGGCAGAGAGGACACAACAGGCTCGGCTGCTGTGTTCTTCAGTGCCCCCTCTCCGTCCACTTTGCTTAACTGCCTCCAGGCTGAAGGTCTTGCTATAATCCATTCTTTATCTGGGCTGCAGGAAGTGTCAAACATATGTATTAATTAGTACTTATTTTCCCCAACAGGCCTTACCACTACATTGACGACAGTTTCTCATAATCCAAAACCACTACAAACTAAAGAGATCTCTAACTTTTCAAATTAAATTCTAAATAATGTTAATTAGTTGTAACTCTCTGATGGATGGACAAATATAGGAAATGCAAGAGGGAAATGTTTTGTTTTATTACTAGAAAAGGATTAAACAAATCAATAAGGAACTACTTAGCCAGCAAAATTAAAGATAACAATTCATATTGATGGAAATATGGCAGATGTTAAAAAAAACTCTAGAGAGCACCTTTTGAGTTTTGAAACTATAGTCAGTTTTAAACTATACTTTAAGAGTATTTTCTAGTTGAAGGGCAAGGTTTCTTTGTAACCACAGGTAATTCCTGAGTATCTTGGCTTAGCCACACAATCCCACCAACCCTACAATTTAGAACATTCCTCCTAAAAACCGGCCACTCCCATTAAAAATTATTTTTATTACTCCACGTTTTTTATTTCTTCTTAAAAACTATGTACATAGAAAGCCTTCTGCAACTGACTTGCCTCTTAGCTAAACTGTGAGATAACTTTGGCACACACGTTTATTAATATAGAGTTTCAGTGTTCCTCTCTCTTCCTCTTCCTCATTCCTTACAGCTGAGTACTGAAATGTCTAAAGCTACAAAAGGCTTTCACAGTTTGCTCATTTTCTTTATCAGCAGTTACCTTTTTTCATACCACAAACTCGGTTTTTACATGCATGACTATAGCACCTGGAACAATTTTCAAATTTTGAAAATTTAAAAACATAGATTTATGGGTATCCCAATTTGTGATAATAAGAAGAAATTTGGATAAATTTTCTTCATAGTTTATATGAACTCTGATTATAATAGCCACAGGAAATAATTACACTTGTTTATGAATTCAGATTCCCTGATACAAAATGCAAATCCAAATGTAAAATGTGAATTCACAAACTAATACCTTCTTTTAAATGGTATTTCTTAAACAATTCTACCATATTTACATAACAATTTAGTATCAACGAATGCAAAGCTTTATAAACACTGACTATTTCTATATATTCCTTCACTTATAATTTTCTATTTGTAGGATAAAACAGATTAACATAAAATCATACCCATCTTTCTAACAAAATAATTACTTATGGAAAATACAGTCACTTAAAGCAGGGTTAAAATAAGAAATATTTGCTAGCTAGATTTTGGTCCTTAATAGTTTCCTAAAAAAGGAAGTCACTGATTAGAAAGTTAAAAACTTGGTCAGTTATCGATAATCTGGTCAGATCTCTTGTGGGGCATTAGTCATGCTGTCCTCATAGCCAAGAGACTGTATAATCAGTTTAGGCAGAAAAAATGCAACAAACTTATGATATATTTAAAATTCAAAGGAAATTACCCCCAAACAAATCTTTTTCATCTCACTTACTGTCATCTGAATTTATACAATTTGCAAAACAGTAGGTGTAAATACACGAGATCAACTAGAGTACAACTCATACTTAAAGAGAGAACATGCACACTGAATTTTTAAAATTCTACTTAGATGGGTTTTTAAAGAACATGTATTAAACCTACTTATTCCAGAGAGGATATCTAATAACATACATTTTTTACAGCTAATAACACATTCAGTTAATCAGCTTTTTGTCTTGATTTGGAATTCTCTGCTCAGGAACAACTTTAAGCCCAGCCACAGTGACACATGCCTGCAACCCCTGCACTTTGGGAGTTCTGCCTGGACAACATAGCAACATCCTGACTCAAAAAACAAAACAACAATACAACTAGGGCTGGGGATGTCGCTCACTGTGGGGGCCCTAGGTTCAATTCCCTAGTACCACAAAACCCAGAACAAAAACCATACCAAAACAAAAGAAAAAAACTTTGATCAGGCTGCCACTGCTTTTTAAAATGATTTTCTCATTGTAGAAGTCAGGCTGATGTTTCAGTAAAGGCAGAAAACAGCTCTTACATGCTGATTTGGCAAAGGGGAGAAAAGACCTAGGCAGTCTGATATTCAGTCAGTTTTTAACAGAATCACTGAATTTCTTCCAGTGCTTTTCTTTCCACTGCCAATATCAAGAAATCTCTTCGCACAAGATATTTTACTTGTTTTTGTAAATAAAAAAGCTATGCTCCCTTGTAAGATTATGACATTGTATTTCAATAAGGACACAAGGAAATGAATAACAAAAAACTTGATAACTAATATATTTCTAAAATTTGATATACAACAACATGAAAAGTTAATTTTAGTGTTGAAATTTTACCTTTAGAGACTTGAAAAAGTAAAAGTCAAATGTTCATTTTCAATTGTGGTACTTTTATGGCAGCTTCTCCAACGTCTTTTGATATATCCACTCCAAGAGGACATCTGCACCGTAAGACAAATCACATTATCTCAAATGCTTGTTTCATGATCCATCGCTAGTTCTGCAAACTGTTTTAGAATTCTGATGAGCAGTATCGAATGCGCAGCAGCTCATGGTATGTGGTGACGAGTACTGCATACATACAAGCACAGTGGAACCTCAAGCTAGGGTAATGAAGACCATCTCTTTAATAAGAAATATAAATTTTGAGATGTTTTTGAGTAATAGTTTTATTGCTCTCAACTACAGTAAATTAGTAAGTTTAAATTTTTTAAATGAAATATAGAAATAAAAGATGCTTTATAATTTTTTACAAAATGAAAATGCTAAAGACATTCTATCCCATAAAGTCAAGCACACACTCACATTCTAGAAATTCCCTAGGGTTCTACGTATTCTTCTCTGAGGTTCCAAAAGCTGACTTGTCCCTTTCCAACCTTCCTCTGGCATTAGCAGCAGGACAAGTCTTACCTCCTACTCTCTGTTTAAAATTCTTTCTCAGTAAGTAATTTTAGACTCAGACTTCTGCTTTTCTTTATTGCTTAAGATAAGACTTGACCTGACCCCAGCCCCAAAACAGCCATCATCGCCAACCTCAACACTGACACAAGAGAGCACAACTGGATCAGCCAAGATCAACCGGCCCAACCTGGCCCATCCACATAAGAGGCTCTGACGCACTAGCTCAAATCTGCTCACTCACAATCACATCATCAGTGTATAACACATGTAGCACAACTGGCACATGACAGACTGTCGTGCTGACAAGTTTTAAAACATCAGATGAAACAGAAGCCAAAACAGAATTATGTCCATATTATGAAATATAATTGTCCTTTAATATTCCAGAATTAACTTAGAATAGAATTTGGTAACAATAAACTAGGTTCCTGGAATTTTGATTTGAGACAGGAAATAAGGATTGCAGGAAGCAACTATCTTTTGAACACTTCTCAGCTGCCCCTGTAAGAATGCAGTCCCAACCCAGTCTCATACCTGAATGCTTTCTGCATGTTCTCCTTAAGCTCCCCAGCATTACCAGCTAGTCCTAAGAGCCTCCTGACACTGCAGAAGTCTAAGCTACGGAGATGGTTTCTATTCTGGTTCCAAATGAAGGAAATGCATCACCCCTACCAAGGGCTGGTTTCTAACTCACCTGTGATTTGTCAAAAATTTTAGTTTGATTCTGTAACAAACATATTTCTTATAACATGTCAACCTTCAGTAGGTTCATGAAAAAAATTCATGCAACTCTTCTTTGAGTACCACCAGAATGTCAATGAAAATCTCGAATTATAAAAGCAAATTCAGGCTCTGGCTTATATTGGGTAACTTTCACAAAGTTTATAAATGGTACCACGTACTTTGGTTCATAGCGGATGCCTTCTATGTGGTGTAAAATGCCCAGGCCAGCTCGTAATCTTTCAATGCCATTCCTAAACAAAAGTCATTAGAATAAAACAAACAGCCCAGAAATTTGAGAAAAGAATTTAGTATGATGAAATGGTAATTACTAGTTGCATGACTATGAGTGAAAAACACAGATCCTGTGACTAACCATGCAATCATAACGCCGTTATCAGTGCACAGCCTGGGGGGAGGACACAGCAGAGCGCACTGCGTGGCAGCTGCGACAATTCCCAGAACTCTTCGGATATACAAGTTACTTGCAACACCTCCAGACACAACCTGAAGAGTTGGGGAGGTCAAAATTAACAACTGTCATATAAGGGCAAACCAAGCTGTTAACTAAGCCCGAGGAACACATCGGCCTTAAAGAATTAAAAACTACCATACTTTGGGGTAGGTGATGGAGAAGAGAGATGTCTGCATTACAAAATTTAGAGATAAGAAAAATCACTGACAATTTTATTATTACCTTACTTACAATCACTACTAGCATTTTATATTTTCCCAATCTTTTTCTAAATATTTCTGTACTATACCTGCCATCATGGTACACTAATATTTTTAGATCCTACAATTTTTACATGTAAACATTTTTATTTCACTTGAAAACCAGTATCTTTAAACTTAAAAAAACCGGTATCTTTAACATTCATTTAATATTCAACTTTTCAAATTACTATCACTTAAACATTTTCTATTATAGTTCATAATTTTATTAAAAAAATTAAGATATATTAGCCAGAAAGATTATCAAGACTTTTAAATATATTTAAAGGGATTTCATTAAAGGATAGAGGAAACCAGCCCACTTTTGTAAAAACAGTGATAGCAATTATTGTATTTGGTTTATTGTAAACCCTCTTTAAAGTCCAACGAGAGATGTGGTATTGTGTAGAGAAGCTATACAAGTGTTATCTATCCCATAAAGCTATCTTATCTGTGCTGGAAATGACTGTGTAGTCTTTTCTACTTTGCATAATTTCACAATGCCAGGGCCAGCACGTCATAAAGACCAGTTTGTCCTAAACACAGGTCAGTCAAGGTCCTGAGGAAAGAAACAACACGCTGAGAAGCATAACTACGACCATTCTGTGAGGTGACAAAACTTACTAGTACTGCATTACTTTGAGATAACAAGTCTCTCTGCTTGCAAAACAGAATAGCACGGTGTGTTCTTTTTGCAATGTGGCATGCTGTCATGTGCTGTACGGCAGCAGCAATGTCTGCAGCTGAAGACAGGACTTGCCCCTTTTCAACACCTGCAGAAATAAGTAGGTACTTTTAGGCACAACCCAGGCATATTTATCTGTCCAACTTTACTAATTGGAAATATACCTTCCTCTTTTTCCTTTTGCATTATTATTTTATCAGTAATATTTTGAAGTCCGGTAAAAGAAAAATCACAATTTTTAACACGATGCATGGGTGGACTGATATCAAAATGAAATCTATCTCCTTGTTTGGCCAAATGTTCTATAGCCTTCCCACCACTCATGCCAGAGCATTCTGGATGTTTGATTAAAGAAAGTCTTCTTGCCACCTATCAAAAACAAAAATATATTTTAAAAAATAAGTCATAAATTATACATTTTGAAACCAAAAGATGCAAAGAACATTAATTGAAAAATTAATAAAATACTGTACACTCCACTCTGACAAATACAGGGTACAGCTGAGTTCAGTAAAGCAGAAAACCTTGTTCCTATGACAACCTGATAAACAGTGGCCATATGCTGCCCCTACTCTTGCTCTCCTGCTGGGGTGGAAAAATAGGCCTGAAGTTATAACTGCTTAATGATGAACTCCAAAGAGAAAAACCTGTCCTATTGTTTCTTATCACTTCACCTGTTGACAGCTGTGTCTTTTTCATATGCGACAGTATTCAAAAATAAAAAAAGGACCGGGGATTTGGCTCAGTGGTTCCACTGCCTGCCTCGCAAGTGCAAGGGCCCGAGTTCAATCTCTAGAACCAAAAAAAAATAAAAATAAAAAAAAAAATAAAGAAAGAAAAAGAAATCTATTTGGCTATGGCGCCAGTGATTGTACATTTATTGACAGAACTTTTTGTCTAATAAGCTATTCAGCAATACTTTGATGAATAGCAGTAGTACATCTATCACTATGTAAATGAAATAAACACTATAACAAGGAGAAATTAATTCTTAAATAATTACCTTGTCAAGCATGTCACCAGGTGCTATGTCCAAAGACTTTCCAAGAAGCAGGAAATCTGAAACTCCTTGGACTAATGCCAATAGACAATGACCTCCAGAAATCAAAAGAACTAAAAAAGGAAATTCTACTTGATGGGTCAGTCTAATAGTCAGTGCGTGCGCCTCCATATGATGAATGGGGATGAATGGCTTCTTTAACTGGTTCACCAGCTGTAAGCTAAATGATAAGCCTACACCCAAGCTTAAAGCCAGTCCTGGTTTTATGGTAGTTGCAATCGCTGAGAGTTCACTTGGAGAGAGTCTACTGGCAGAAAGGGCTTCTTGTACTATTCGATGAATATTTTCTCTGTGAAGCTGCTGAGCTACTGGAGGAATAATCCCACCTGTCCTGAAAGAAACAAAAAGATAGCTTTTTATAAACTGAAGACTGTAAAGACAAAGAAACAAAAATAAGAATATTACAACTGAAGGCATGATTCCAAATTAATCATTATAGGGCTGGAAATATTCAGCTTCTTCAAATTGTGCGTTATAATGTAGCACACTGTAAGAACTCAGTATGAAATGATTAAGGAGATAATGTCTCTAACTTTTCAAACCTGTGCACAAAATCCCGACAGATTGGTTTGCTGATGAATTAAATCAAGCACTGAACAAGGGAAAGATAGGATAAAATTATATTTTAGGAAAATTAATCTCCTTACAGATGGAGAGCTTTTTAGAGATTGCAGCAAAAGCATTTGTGAGAAATGATTATATCTTAAAGTGGGGGATTTATGGGAATGGACAGAAAGAGAAAACCTGAAAACTGTAAGAAATACTAACAGTGAGAAACAAAAAGATAATTTTGTGAAGATGAGTTTATTTTTAAATATATTGCACTTGAGGTCATAGCAGGAGAGTAGATTGCTTGCAATCCTAACAAAGTTTGGGAATCCAGGGCTCAAACTTATAAATGAGGGCCAGGAATTTGGCTCAGTGATTCTGTTGCCTGCCTCTCAAGTGCAAGGGCCTGAGTTCAATCTCTGGTACCAAAAAGAAAAAAATCATGTCAAATTTATGAGATTTCTGATCCATGTAAGAGAATGCATGCATGGCCACTCCAAATGTCAAGTGTAAAGAATGAGAGGGCAAATTTGTTACCAACAAATATGCTAGCATGTGGCTGCTTTATAATCCGAGGAGCAGTGCAATAAAATATAGAGTGCAAAATACATGTGGAATCTCAAAATTTATCTTCCATACAGTCAATGTTGTAAGACGTGCTACTTCAATACACAAGAAATAAAATTCCTTAGAACATTCAGTGAGTGCTTATTTAACAGTAGAAATATGAGGCATGATAAAAATATAGTGAATTTTAAAATTTTAAAAAATATATTACAGTAAAAAACACGTTGCCAGTAATTTCCCTCAGAAAGCTTGCCTTTGCTTTGAACACACTTCTCCCATCATTCTTCCCCCTTGCTGAGGCAGTTCTGGAAGTCCTCTTTCATCTCTTTAGTTGTGTGGTGGAGGCTGCCTAGAAGTGTGCCCCGAATCAATTCAAAATGCTGACCTTTCTGGCCATTCTGACTTTTAGGAGTAGCCAGAAGTCACGTGGCTACTGTCACGTTTCACAAGCCTGCCACCTTTCCACTGGATGACACTGTATTTTTGATCATGTCTCCCACAGACACAAAAACAGAACTTGCAGAATTGCTGCAGAAAGTGAAAAGAATGATGGGATACGCGTTGGAAGCAAGGGGGGAATTTTGAAGAGATTGACAACAACGTGTCTTAAAATGTAACAAAATTTTTAAAAATTTAAACATGCACTCTGTATTTTGATTATGCCATTCATATTATTTTAGGCAATGAAGGAGATATGAAGAAGGCATCTTATTTCAACACAGACATTTTATAATTTTCCTTAATTCTTCAAAGATACTTTGTTCTTTTTGGTACCCAGGATTGAACTCAGGACCTGACACCTGCGGTGCCACTGAGTTAAATCCTTGGCCCCAAAGATCCTTTTTTTATATTCTTGTATCTATTTATGGCATCAATAACCCCATAACCATTTGGGTTTTAAGGTTCATCTTTACCTTTCCTTCCCTCTCACTCTCCACATTTAACACCACCTCCACTGCTACAGCCAAATACAAAAAGCCCTCCCTCTATCCGCTACTCGACAGTTTTCTATTGCACTTTCCTGGCTCTGTCCTGTGGACCTTGGAGATGATCCCATATCGGGATTCCAGAGACAGCAAAACATACCCTGTTACTGACCCTATTGCTTTCCTACTCAAACCTTTACTTTCTTGGAATTCTGGAGAATTTAAATTCCTTTCCCTCCACTCATTTCTTCTATCTTGCATCCTTTCCTTCCTTTTTTGTGCCTCTTCTGTGTATTTTCGACTCCAGAGGTGACGCTAAGTACTAGGAACAACAGACCTAATCATTTTTCCACACTCCCGTGGACTTGATGTATCAGACATTGTGCTGCACACAAGGTGGTGGTCTCCATCACCACGGAGTTAAAGTCTACTGGGGGAAAGACTATGTGTAAGAGTACAACTGTGTAAATTATAAAAAACGATTACAGATAAAATAGGCTGGATATGGTGATAAAGAATAAACCTAAGTTAGTCAGAATACTTATTTAGATGACATGTTCAGGACTAGCCTTTTTGTGAAGTTCGCATTTACGTGTTCAAAATTTTAAGATAGCTACGTATGGAAGTGCACACCTGTAATCCGAGCGTTCAGGAAGCTGAGGCAAGAGGACTGATGCGAATTCGAGGCCAGCTTGTGCTACATGGTGAGTTCAAGACCAGCCTGAACAACACATAGTGAGACCCTGCCTCAAAAGAAAAGCTCGAGAAAGTCAGAAATTAAGGATTCTTTTTACGCAGCCCTTACATTGCTAGCTTTCCCGTATTCTACGCAACACGCCTCTGGTTAGGGTAATAGTACTTCACTGTATATTACCCAGCATGACTACTCTTATTTCTTCACATAAATTATTTTTAATCCTCCAAGGCAGGTGTGATCTTTGTGTAAACAGAATCAGGACAATGAACTTGCTGAAAGCAGCAAATCCAATAAATACTAAGTCCTTGATTCCGGGTTTCAATACCAGTTTGATCCAAAACTACTAGTCTTTTTCAAATGTCTTTTACCCAGATGTTGTAAATTGACAGCTTGGAGGCATATTTCGTTATACTGTGAACCAGTTAGTAACTTCAAATCTTCAGATACATTAAAAAATTTCCACTTGCGGTTTAAAACTCTGATGATCTAATGGCACAGATCCTAGATTCCTGTATGGCAAAAACTGGCTAGAGCTCAGTTATCACCCCTAGATTTTGCTTTTATCTAGCCCACCTATTTACATAACCTCCATGGTGGGCCTCTGCAAATATCTGCATTCCATAAACCTTGCATCATTCTAAGCTTTAGCACCACAGTGTATTACTATGCATTTAAGTATCAACATAAAAGTTCTATGGTTACATGTGAACAGGATTTCTTCTTCATGGATTAACATAGTGTAGGGGAAAAACAAAGCCCAAGATGGTAGCACTAGGGTTCAGGCTGGGGTGTGTGATTTCCAGTGGACAGTAAGTCTGGAGTCGGCAGAATCCCAGCACAGGCGCACCTCCCAGTCTCCCTGTAAATAGCTTGTATAATCAGGGTTGACAATGGCATTAAGCCACTATTGTGGATGGCCCTATACATCTAGAATGAGCAAGGGCTGGAGAGGTCTAAGCGGCTGAGGACTGCAGAGGATGTGCAGCTAATGTGCGGCTAAGAGCAACTGGGAGCCACGATAGTTATCAGAGCAGCACCTGAGGATAAAGATGTTTAATCCAGTCCACAGCTCTGCATCTCTTCTTCAGGCTGCCCCAATCTCAAAAGAACCTCTCCAGCCTGAACTGGTGACAAGGCACATAGAAAGGCTATAGACCAAGTCATGCTTTCCTAGGACTTCAGTTGAGACTATCAAACGTGTGGAGATAAGACATTATAAAGAGAAAAACATTGACAAATATTAGAGTTGGGAATGAGGGTTTTGTGTTTTTGACAAGAGCAGTAGCAGAGGTTGGGATCACACTGTGGAGAGGTATAAAAGCCAGGATGAGGTGTTTGAAGTTTTCTTTCGCAGTTATTGGAAACTTTACACAAAGGAAGAACATAGGTCACAACTATTATACATAATAAATACAAGAATAGCGTCATTTACTTTTTACAATTTTTTAAAGGTAGCAACGACTAAGACCATGTTTACTTACTTTAAATGAACTTCAGTTTGGGAATGTATCGCTTCTCCCAACACATTTCCAGTTTCATCCACCACAGCGGCTGCTGTATCATCACAACTGGTTTCAATTCCCAGGACTATTTTATGAAGTAATTGTGTTCCAGGATGAAAGTTAAAACTTGGAAAAAGCGCATTAACTTTCCTTTTTGATAGTTTGGAAAAAACTCCTGCTGCCTTATTTAATATTAACATACTTCCTACTCTAATAGGTAATTCCTGGAAAAGAATCACAGAAACAAACATTATTTGAAACTGATATTAGTAATTAACCTAGTCACTTAAACAAAATAATGAATACTATTTGATTTTTTAAAAAAAATTTGTGGTAACAAGGAGTCTCAGGGCTTTGCACCTGTTAGGTAAATGCTCTAAAACTGAACCAGCCCCTGGTTTATTTATTTTTTAATATATAGTTTTAGAGAACTATAGGAAAGTTTATAAAAGTCACCAAAATTCTGGAATATAAGTAACAGTATGAATGAGGACAATGCTTTCCAAAGAGCAAAAGACATGAAATTTGTTAGTATTACAAGATGAGCACCCCTAATCCATAAATCTGAAACTTTGAGTACTGCTATAACGCCACAAATAGAAAATTCCACACCTGTGACATGTTACTTAAATCACAGACATGTTAAAAACAGTGCCATATATAAAATTACCTTCTGACTACAAGTATGAGATGTATAAGAAACATAAATGATTCCATGTTTAGACTTGGGTGCCTTCCACAAACTATCTCATGTGTATGCCAATATTCCAACCACCCCTCAAACACACCCATTAAAATAAAATCTGAAATCAGAGACACTTGTGGTCCCAAGCATTTCAGTTAAGGGAGGCTCAACCCGTACTGTTACTTTTATGCTGTTCTTGCGAACTATTTATTATCCTTTATAAAATAGGTACTCTTACGGTACAAAAGTTGCATGAATAGTTCTCAGAAAAGCGCTATTTATTTTCTGATCATTAAGACAAAATGGGATTTAAAACTCAACAAAAAGAAATAGAACAGATAAAAAGAAACGCACCTTATTTCCTGGAAACATTTTTCAAAATAAAATTTAATCATTTCGTTAAAAAAATAGTTAATACAAAACACATAAGCAATTAACGAAGACAGTCTTAGTTTAGAAACAAGTCTCATACAGCTCTTCTCAAACATATCTCGATTATTACCACCTGCAACCCAACGTTATTTCTAAATTACAACCTTTGGAATTAAATCTCCCCTTTGCCACAGGTTTATTATGATTGAGAGCTTCTTTCCACCCCCACCCCCAACCAAGCTGTGCATCAGTAAACCACCTTAGTATTTCACTGTGTAGCTTCTTCCCCTACCACATGAGTGGTCAAATTGTTACACGGAGTTGGTTCAAAGCAGCAAATAATATCGGAACGGAGACGGAGGACAGGGGAAGCTGGGAGGAGTGCAGACCACACAGGCCGTTACTCCGTAGGAGTTAGATTTGCAGTACGTCGATCAGGGCGGATTGTTAGCAGCACTCCCCTTCAGGGCAAGAACGCTCCCGGGTGACTTGGGCAGCGCTGGTCTTTGTTTGCTCTAAGGTGAGGCGTGGACTGGTGAAGGGCGAGCAGTTACACCCACCTTTCTCGTGAACGACAGTATTACCCTTTGCTCGCCCCAGCCAAGTCGTCCGACATGCAGCTCTCCCGCGCAGGAAAAGTCTGCCCTTGGCGCACCGGAAGCGACGTCATCCGCAGGGCCATAGACTCTCGGTTGGTTACCCTAGCAACACAATCCTCGTGTAAAGCGCGCCCTGGTCTCACTAGTCTCCCTAGTCTCCGGTTCTGCAAGGTCACATAGATAGCAACTGATCCAGATGAGTTGAATTCGACTTTATCTGAAGGCACAGCATTAAGTTCCACAATGTGCTGCATTTTAAAGTGTTTTGCCTTTGGAAATACTGTTACAGTATCTTGATCAGAGAAACACAAAGGAAACTAGGAATACCTTAACCTTCAAAGGAGTGCAAGAGAATGAAAGTGCTTTTGGGTAAGCAGCCTGAAGGGAACTCCCACTTCACCGAGACTAAAGGTCTGTATTTGCCTCCTTTACTAATATAAAAATAAATAATAAAAAGAGGCAAGGGTAAATATTTTTAAATACATTTTTCATATTGCATTACATAGTCCCCACTTACTGTGTATGCAACCTTCAATATAGTGTATATTGTTGCACTTTTTCGTTAAGTCTTGTATTGCTTTGTGAAGTCGTGACCATTTGTTCAAATAGATTTATCCCAAGAATTTTTATTCCTCCTCACTAAGCTTATTTTTTTAGTAAGAACCTTATAATGCAAGGTTGGATGAGGCGGGCGGATCTATGCCTTGCACCAAGTGTGGTTCTGAGTATAAAAGATGAGCAAACCATGTTGGGAAGTCACAAGAGTATATGCTATGGTGGATACAAATAAGTGAATACATAATTACCAGAATCTTGAGAGTTTTTAAAATTAGAGCTTGTTTTTTTAAAATGTTCATTGATGTGTTACAGTAAAGTGGCAATTACTGTGTGCTAGACATTGTAATAAGGTTATTTAAAACCTCACAACAAACCCCTGAGGTACTTGATGTCCTCATTTTACAGGCAGCCAGGCCCCAGGGTTTGGATGACTTGCAGAGTTAGGACTACAAGCCCAGCCATCTGTTTATGGAGCCTGTTTTCCTAATTGCCAGAAGAAAGAATAAGCTATAATTTCTTTAGGGTGCAGCACCCCCCACCCCACCACTATAGGACAGAAGTTATTTCTGTTATACATGGAAAGGACATAAAACCTTCATATCTGGAATTTTTTCCCACAATTCATATTTAGGTGTATCCTAGTGCTTTCTGATGTATGTATGTTACCATCCCTGTGTCAATCCATCATAGAAACAAATCTAAGACACACTGGCAAGGGATTTTATTTTTCCCCTGATTGAACAAAGGACACATACCAGTCTCAGGTATTTACCAAATGAAGGTGATATAGGGGGGGAAAATGTAACTCCCAACCTGCTGATGTCAGACACACCAAGTTCATGTTTCCTGAAATCCAAGAATGAATTCTAAGGAACAATGGAGTAGTTAAGAATAGGAAAAATGTATTGAGTGATAGCTCCTGAGAGACAGGAGGGGACCTGACAGTGGTTGCCATCGAGCCCACTTTTCTGAGTTTTATAGAGCAAAATCATGAGGTGGGTACAATGTGCATTAAATTATAATCAACCAATAACATTACAAGTATGAGCAGCCTAGCTAATACTGATCCAATAGTGAAGCGGGGCATGTAGCAAGGGCACGTGAATGACATCATTAACCATGGCTGATAATCTATAGTCTCAGTCTTGGCTTTGGTTTTAGTCTTAGTATTCTTCGTCTTACTTAGTCTTAGTGGGTTGGAGACGTTGGCTCACCCCTTAATGAGATAATGGTCTATTTATATGTGAAAACTGTAATGTGTGGAACCAGTAATCTTAAACTTTCCATTTATCTCTTAGGAAGTAAGTAAATATGGCCATTGTGACTTTGACCTTCAGATGCACCTCCAGCCAGTTCTGATGTGTTCTCATCTTCTGCACTGACTCCTTTGAGGGCCTACCCGATCACCTGTAATATTTCTACCTAATGGAGATGTCTATAATAAAGGAATACATTTTCCATGTTTTTTATAATACTATAGGAAATGGTTTAGGGAAAGGCCTGTGGGCTCTCTGGCGTTTGTTTAGACTCTCCTCCATTTCATGTATGGTTAAAATGCCACTCATGAAACAACATATGCATCATATTTTTTCTTAAAACTAGGCAAAATGAAGGATAGCATCTTTCCTCTTCTCCTGTTTCCCCTTCCCTGGCTGGCACTACTTCAGACATTCTGGGTGTTTTGCTGAGGCCTGTCTTCCCAGAACTGAACTGTCCATACTTCACATATTAACATGTATAAGCCATATTATTGTTTTGCAAATCACTTTTCTGTCCTCTATTAAGACTGTTAAACTGTACTGGGACACTGCATGTTTTCTTCATGAATAGAATCTGAGCCACCATTACTGGTTTCATATATTAATATAGAAGACATGTTACACGACAATCGAGATTTAACTTTAGCTATACAAGGTGAATCAAAAGGCTAAAATCTATCAAGATAAGGTTCTATCAGAAATAGAAGTCTTAGCCTTTGTTTTAGTAAATACATTTAATAAATATATGAGAGAAGAGTCATCAGTTAAAAGTGCTACCTGCTGAAGATGTGAGATTTTAGTGACCATCAAGGGAATAAGGGATATGCAATCATCAAAACAACTAAAGTGCTATAAAGCTGCATTAAAAAACAAAACACAAAAATCTAAAACAAGGGAGATGTAGCACATCTTATCACCTGTCTTATAGTGCTATGTAGTAAAAAACAAACTAGAACCTAGAGCACTGTTAGGATGTGGAAGAAATATGAAACACTGCTGTATAAAAAATGGCCATCATAAGGCTGTTATCAGTTTAAAAGTTATCTTTAAATAGCTGGAGAGTTACATGGAACAAGAATTAGATTTTGGCCCAATTTAAAACAAATAATAAATTCTATTACCAAATGGATTATGCTCTTACAGTTGTAAATCCTTCATTAGGGTTAAAAAGAACCAAATGGAAGGGTGGGGCTAATGAAGATTTCAGCTAATGTGGGATGTGGAATTAAATAGTCTCTAAGGGCTTTTCCAACTTTTACCATTAGAAAAACAGCATTATAGAGCTAAGTCATACAAATAAATATTAAGGAGATATTGTGATAATCCCAGGATTGGTATAGTTTAGTATGTAGATGGTAACAACAAAAACCTAAAGAGCAAAAAAGGATGGGGGCAGGAAAAAAGAACACAGGAGCCAACTAGGAAGAACTCCCAATGATCCCCACGGGGGACAGTTTAATAATGATTGTAACCCAAAGAGTAAGACGCTCACAGGCCCATGAATAAATGAATAAATGAATAGGGAGCAGAGAAAGATCTTTCTTAACAGGATAATTCCAATAAATAAATATAGATGAAATAGAAAATCATCAATACTCTAATAAAAAAATTGCTGCAAGAAAGATCCACTCATGGGTTCTAAAATTAGTGGTTTCTAGGCTCATGCCTATTTAAATTGCCATTTAGTCTCCTCACATGAATTTAGTAGCTATTATAACAAGGTAATAGCTTTTGTTCCAAGTATAGACTTAAAGATACCTTTAAAAAAAACTACATAAATTTAGGAAATGGGCATTTCCATATTTAGCACGACTCACCTAGATACTAAGGAATCATTTTCATTCCCTCCTGCCAGCCAGTCAGTACATCAGTGATTTAGCTGTACTTGCAGATCCCAAACCTAGTTATCTGCTACTTTCTTGGGGTAGCTCATCCCTGCCTACAGTAGCTTACCAACTATTCTTTCCACTTTCTGTTCCCTTACTTTATTCTCAACATTAGCCAGTGATCTTTAAAAGAAAATCAGATCCCCTTAGTCTTCTGTATAAGACCCTCTAATGGCTTTGTCATGCTTAGAGTAAAATCTATTTATTACCTTGCTCTAGAAGCCCTTTATGATCTGTCCCCTACTTATTTATTGGCCTCATTTGCTACCATTCTCCTCCTCTTCCCTTATTTCTCCTTAGTCCCAGTGGCTGTCTTGTTCTCCCTCAGACATGTCTCCTTCCTGCCCAAGAACCTTAATAACTGTCAGTCTTTCCACAGACCTTTGTACTGCTTGCTTCTTCGTGTCAGTGAAGCCTGTGTACCAATGTCTCCTAAGAGAGCATCTGCAGGGAATGCCCTTTTTAAGGCAGGCCTGTCATCTGCTTAATTTTCTTCCATAGCATCATTACAGAGAATAACGGGCACCTGTCTATTCATTTATTATAATGTATCTCCAGGGAGAGAAATGGCTTGGCTTTTATACAAACTGTTTTTAATACCTCAAGTGGATGAGCCCTCACATATGTACTAAATATCTTTCCAACAGTGAAAGCAGATAGCCGAAAACATAAGGGTAGATTTCCATCTTTGAAGACTTTTGAGATAACCTTTAAAATGAAATAAGACACTCTTACGAGCTGGGGCAGAAGATTCTGAGTTCATGGTGGCCAGCCTGAACTATTTAACATAGTTAAGTTCCAGGCCACCTTGGGCTATGTAGCAAGATACTGTTTAAAAACAAAATACAGACAGACAAAGCAAAACAATGCAATATTTTTAGTTATTTAATTTTTACAAATTCAGCTGCTTAAAAAAAAACTTGAAAAACATCAGTATGGTTTTGATGATTGATTGAACTGGAAAGTTTTTGCAGTAATCTGACACCCAAAGAAAAATTTTATTAAAGTATACATTACCAATTATTTAAAAATACAAGGGAAAAGACAAACACACAGAAGCAACTTTGTATCACGCAACTTAACCGAGCTTAATTTCTAAGCTCTGTACTTTTTAAATACAAAATAATGATCGATGGTCCTAATAGTTTATAGACACAAATTCACTTTTAAATTGGTTTATAACTCTTTTCACTCAATTTTGTTTATAAATGTTACTCAGTTTTCATGTCTCATTGTATACCTTATTAGAACTTTGTTTTTTGGATGTGTTTACTTCTTCAAGTAGTATGTAGTTATTTCTTACAATTAATATTAACAACTATAGGCAGCTTCCTTAAGTCACAAAAGTTTAGAATGGTTGTTGCTCTGGAAATAGTTACCATTTGGTATCATGTACAGTAACACCCATATATTTAAAGGCAAAATATTAATGGGAAACTATGGAAGTTGACAGCCAGAAGAATAAAAAAAGACACTGTCATCTTTTACTGCATACTTAAAAAAAAAAAAAAAAGACTCCATTACTCCCTTTGTTACTACTGCATTTTCTGCCAGACCACAGGTGGCTATATAGCTATCCATTTTATATTTCCTTTCCAAAAGAATGATAGCTTTACCAATTAAGTTGCTCAATCCAATAAGCAGACACTTAAACTACCATATGCTTTAACTGCTTGAATAAATCATTTTCTTAATTGGCTTAGCAGCTTTATGACTAGAAAAGCAGTATAACCCACTCTGTTCCAAAATTAGAATGCTTACTCAGAGGCTGACTGTCAGATACCTGGTATCTTCTATCCCCAGTCATGAAAGAGGATCTTTATGAACTCTGTAATGTAATGTATACAAAACTGACCTTATCTATCAACACACAACATTGAGCCAGCAAAACCAAAAAGCATACTCATAAGGTAGGAACTGGCTTATAGAAACAAGAGGGCAATAAATCCTCTTATATAAGAGAAACACATCTGCTAATAAAAACAATTTATAACAAACACGTATAGAGATGATTCTGGTTCATGTGTGAGCCTGCTTAAATTGACTGTGACTGCTAGGAAATTATCTTTTTCTGTCGTAATGCCCATTCATTTTAAATTGGTCCTATTTCCTTACAAATCTTGTATTTCCTTGGATTTATCTACCACACCCTCACTGTACTGCCATTAATTTATAAGCTGGGCCTGCCCAGCCTGCCAGTAAAGCCTCTCTTCAGAAATGTACCAGATGCTTTAAACAGAGGCATCTTTTATAATCCCGTACTTCAAAACAGCGTATGAAAAACCAGCAATTGGTTCTCCAATGCAAATACCTCTCATTTCACATTATCACAGAAACAGTGCAGTTTACTAACTACTCCTTCCCTACAGGAAACTCAGTAGCTGTAAAAATTTTTTGTTCAGTTTTAAAATATTTCAATACTTATTAATTCCAAAGATCCGAACACCATGTAGTTGTGGCATTTTGGGAATAAGCACACTCAGGAGAGAAGCTGTGTTTAGGATGAAGTGAGTTGGATCATACTTCGTATAGAAACTTGCCAGAAAATATCTGTAGAAATAAAAGTTAAGAACGCATGTAACATCCAAAAATGAAATTACTTAGAACTTAAAAAAATTAAAAGTTAGAAAAAAGGCCACTAAACACACAAATTGCCTAGCAGTAAAACTTTTTTTGAGCACCAAAATAAAAATTTTACTGTGGTCCCAAATTAATTTACTTTGGCAGTTAGAAATTTATTTAATTCAAGTGTGCATTCTGCACTTCTATAACTATGTTAAATGGATTTGATTATATGCTCTGCTACTTAGCCTCCTTTAAACAGAAGGCATTTAAACAGCTTTTGTGTCCTAAGATTTCAGGTATCATTTTGTCCTTATGTATGTATTCCTGAAGAGAAGATCTGGATCCAAAACATCTCAAAATGTTTTGACTCACCAAAAGGTTAAGGACTACTAGTATAAAGCTTTGAAAAGTAGGGTTTTACTATATTAGGACAATGCAATATATTTGAAACAAACAAATATTTGTTTACTCCTTTGTGTTTTCAATTACACACTGTAGTTGAGCAGGTCTAACTGGTAACTTGAAAGATACTGTTGTAAAATTTCAACTGTTTTGCTATAACTGAACACGTGTGTTCAGAGATCTATTTGAGAATTTAACAAGCGTAAACTATCTTTAAGACCATAAATCATCACGTCCAGAATGTCTAGTGTTACCCAAGGGTACATCAGAGTACAGATGCATCATCTAGCTATTAAAAGCATATTTCTAACATAGAAAAGGTATACCCTGCCTTGATCATAACTAAGAAGGTAATTTCCATATAGGTATTAGCCTAATGAATTTTAAAGTATAATAAACATTCCTCTATTGCCATTAGCTCATCATACGAGGGAAACAAATATCTTGTGTGATACGGTTAGAAAACAGCTGCTTCCAGATGTGACTAAAAAATATTATAGTAAAAAAACTGAATGTATCATTTTCAGAACTGTCGAGATTGAGAAATTCTTCCATCTTCCACCTACTTAAAAAATAGCCAGAAAACTCCTTTTAGAGAGTAAATCACATTCTTCAAATTGTGGCTTTAAATGCTTTCTTCCTGCTTTCATGTATTTAAGACTGTTTTTATACTTCCTTCACTGAACAAAACAGGATAGCACTTGCACTTAGCCCATCTGATTTGGCTTCATCATTATGGGTTTGATCTATAAACTGACAGATTAGAAATAATAAATCTTGCTATAGCTTCTCCTTCCATACTGTAGCCTATGTCTCCTTTTTTGTCTTTAAATAAAAACTGTAGATTATATGAAAATTACCTAGTTCTTAACAAAAAATTTAAGATACTGATTACTTTCACTTGAAAATGCTCTTTCTTAAACATCTATCCCAAAACTAGCTCCTCTTTAGTCCAGCTTGAAGAATTCCAAACCTACAGAAAGTCTTTCCAGCTACTCCGGGCTGCACTGTTTCTACCATGGATGTAGTACTATGTACAAGGTATGTGGTACAGTGTTCAATAAGATATATATCAAAAGTACCTATAGGTGCAAGCCTATTACAGTACCTATGATGGGATTCAAAGTACTCCATGTGTACTTACAAACTCTTAGAGGGAAAAAAAGCACATAATTTTTTAATTTGTCACTTATATCTAAAAAAAAAACGGGGACAAAAAATAGAATGACCTACAAAATCACAAAATAGTCAAGAAATTCTTCTTAACACATTCATAATGGGGCTATGATTCTTTTTTTTTTGTACCAGGAATTGAATTTAGGACCTTGCATTTGTCAGGCAGGTGTGGCACCACTAGGCTAAATCCCTGGCCTTTAGGGGCTATAATTTTTACATCTCACTGACAGGAGGCTTGAACCACCTGTGGTACATGAATAACTATGCCATTGAGCAACTTTTTATAAATTCTGCTAGTAAAAAGACCAAGCGATTAAAACTATTTGTACCACTGGTGATACAAGGCACATAACAGGACAGTCATGCATGTACCACTGATGGTTCAAGCCAGTGAGAATATGTTCAAACAAAACAAAGTAAAACAAACAAACAAAAAATGCTGCTTAGAAGACCCTAAGTGTGTGGGAATAAAATAATTCACATAAAAGGAAAATGAAGTGGGAACTATTTTGTGGCAAGTCCTGAATATCAGGTAGTGGAAGGAAGTTATATAGATATCAGATATAAAATTAGATGCTGTCCAACTAGGTATTATCTCATTTGTTTGTCACAGCATCAAGATAGTATTAGTAGTCAAAATTTGATATATGAGCAAACCAAACTGGCTGAATGTTAAGTCAGGATTTAAATCAGGTTTGTCTTACACTTCAAGCTGAACTCTTTTTCCCCAACCATAATCTCTCCCAAGGAGTCTGAACATCCAAATAGGCCTGAATGGCCAAGAAAATTCTTCTGATCACCTAATTCATCATTAAGGGAAATTAATCTGACAGTGCAATACAAAATATAATTCATTGTACAATGGTGTCTCCCAATGTATTGACTGACGTGAAAACAGGTTTATTTCAACTTGTCAAAAATTTTGCCTGAGGTAGCTACTTATTGATTGAAATTTTTAATGAGATATTGTTTCTAATTTTAATTCAATCTGAAAAATCTTCCTGTTATTCAATCTTCTTCATTCTTAAATATATCTACCACTTACAGAATTATTGGAGAAATTGTGAAAAACTTCCGTGAAGATGTAAACTGTACTCCATAGTCCAGTTGTTCCCAATGAGTTAGAAGTCTTGCTTTACCCTGGTCAGGAGTTTCAAAAGGTGTTCCTTTCACTGCATGGAAAAATACATACATCCCCTGGAAAACAAGCAACAAGGCATATAATCAATACCAAATGCAAAATTAGTCCCTGACAGTAAGCAGTAAGATGTGTCCAAGTTATTTGCAACAGAGTAATGAAAGGCTGCGGCCAGTTTCTGTATGGCAAATGAACCTTTTTAGACTATATACATATTATCTGGTGAAAATCAGTAAAAGGTCAACCTAAAGTAACTGTTTTCATTAAATTGAAAATTAAAAGTATCATCAGGGTAGCTTCCTATCCTTATATTTAGGTTATCAAACAATTTTCCTGTTAAGAAATAGGATTACCTTTTTCTAAATATATAGTACTAATATTTACTTTAGATTGCCCTATTTGTAAAATGGTAAGACATAAATTGGTGAAAAAATATGAAATCTTTATATTGGGCAAAATGGGGTTGAAATATTTAATATTAGAACTGCCTTTCTACCTCAGTAGTTTTCTTCCAAAGCAACAAAGATGGTCTGATGTAACAGATATAATGTTTGACTTAATTCACTTTTAAAAACCACCACTGTGCCTCTTTTGAAGTTAGTTTTAAAGAACATTACTAAAAGTCATTCTGTCTGAGATTTTATTAAACACCTACTTCTGTGGTAATTAGAAATTAATGATTTGAAATTCTACTTTGTACTGTTAAGAGAACCTTCCTCTCAAAGCTTAGTCTGTTTCCTACCTAATGTATTAAGCAGTTCAAAAGTAGGTTAGCTGCAGTAACCCCTTGTTATGGCTTGGGTCTAGATGTTACTTCAAAGTCTCATGCAGTTGTAGGTGGGGCTTCTTCAGAGGTGGCTGAATTTAGAGTGTGTGATTGATTCATGGTGCAATGCTAGGCTCGAGGGCACTAAGATTAAGGGTGTGAATGTTACCAGCTCTAAATAGTCTGGATAGGATAAAGGGGGCAGAAAGATGCTGTTTTCCGCTGCCATGAACTGTTGCCATGTGCCACCCTGCCTTGGAGCCAGCTGATTATGGACTAAACCTCTACAAATTGTGAGCTAAATAAATCTTTCCTCCTTTAACTTTGGGTGTCAGGTATTTTGTCTCAGCAATGAGAAAAGCATCTACAACTCTTCTAAACTTTAGCAGACTCAAGTTCCCTTGGGTTTAACTAAAAAATGCATATATAGGGCACAGAACATGTACGTACATATAAAATTGAACAAGACATGTCTCTGGTCTTGAGAAAATTCAGTTTTCCAAGAGATGGTAAGAAAAAATATGCAAAAACATCTAAAAGTAGGGCAGAAACTGCTATTAGAACTACAGTCCAGAGTACTCAGATAGTTCGGCTGGAACTATCATCTTCCAGGAATTTGCCAAAATGGCAAAGAGGAGGGGAACCCAGTATATGTTCTCCAGTCCTTTTAGAAAATATGGTCTTGTTCCTTTGGGCACATACATGCCAATCTACAAAAGGGTGACATTGTAGACATCAAGGGAATGGTACTGTTCAAAAAGAAATGCCACACAGATGTTACCATGGCAAAACTGGAAGTCTACAATGTTACCCAGCATGTGGTTGGCATTGTTGTAAACAAGCAAGTTAAGGGCAAGATTCTTGTTGAGATTAATGTGCATATTGAGCATACTAAACAATCAATGAATTGAGGTAGCTTCCTGAAACATGTCAAGGAAAATGTTCAGAAAAAGAAGAAAGCCAAGGACAGAGGTACCTGGGTTCAACTGAAGTGCCAGCCTGCCCTGCCTAGAGAAGCATGTTCTGTGAGAACCAATGGGAAGGAGCCTGCATTATTGGAACCTATTTCCTATGAATTCGCGGCATAAGCTGGGGATACAGCTTTGCCATTCAGCACCTAATCTGCGGCTAAGTGTTCTAAGCCCTGCTTAAAAATAAAGAGTTCTATGCTATAAGGATGTTTTTTCTTAATTGAACCAGTGTGTGGCCTTTACCTAAGAGAAAGAAATATTTGAAGCAGACTGTCATTGTACCTAGTTAATTGTGTCAAGTCTTTACTCTTTCGTGTTTTTCTTTTTTTTTTCCTAGTACCAGGGATCGAAGTCAGGGCTTTGCATTTGTGAGGCAGGTGCAGTGCCACTGAGCTAAATCCCCAGCCCTCTTTAGTGTTTTTCTTGCTGAAAGATGTGAGGTATTGTGTAGGAGTACAACCAGATGGCCAAATATTTATGAGACATTTATAGTGGCTCAAAGATCCTCTGAATCACCATGGAGAAAAGTTGTATCAAACCAAATAGAAGTCATTGTATGGAATTTCAGTTAAATACACCATTTTAAAGCACACATGTGCATACACACGTGTGTTGTGTATGTGTGTGTGAAATAGAGAGAGAGAGAGAGACAGTCTCATTGTCTCATTCTGTAATTCAGGATGGCTTTGAATTATGTAGGCCCAGGCTGGCCTTGAATTCACAGCAACCCTCCTGTCTCAGCCTCCCGGGTGCTAAGATTACTGGCATACACCACCACACCTGGCTACAGCATAATATATATTAAGTTGTTTCCATTATGTTTGTTTTCCCATTAGTCTGAATAGCTTAGGAACAAGAATTGGTACAGAGCAAGTTTTAGAGATGTTGGAAGATAGCATTAAATAAGGAGTGTTTATGCAGTAAACATAAACCATTTTCACAGGGCTTGGAAGGAAACTGTGAAATCAAGTATTTTTTCAAGTTCTCAGGAGTATATGAGCTAAAAATAGAGAAGAACCTCTATTCTAGATCACAGGTATGTTTGAATGTGTTTAAAAGAAGAAAAATTCTTTTGCTTTTCCTTTAAACCATGCACTTACTAGTGTTTAATGTCCAGTTTACTGTTCCTAGCAAAGAAGATTAAAATCTGTGTTTGGGCTTGCATAGCACATGTGAGGCCTTGGGTTTCATCCCCAGCACCACAAAAATGTTTTCTGATCATGTATCTTCTTCTATTCCAATGTTATTTTTATATAAAAATATTAGTGATGATTTTTCACATATCAAAAGAATTTGAAAACTAAAGTATATATCTCATGGCTAGCCTGTAATGTTTACTAAATCAAAATAAAAAGAATTCACATTCATTTTTAAAGCTGGGCTAATAATCTTGTGAAACAGCTCGGAACTGTAGCACTGAATATAAATAATCACTGTAGGTTTCTACTATATGGTTCAGAAAGGCAGAAACAATATTAGTTTTCTAATCAAACACAACAATGAAGCCTACCTTTCCATGTTTAAAAGCGTTTAGGATTTGTTTCACATTTTTAATTGGTTTAGTATAAGCCATCTTAAAAGCAGACTTAAAATTGGAGCTATGTAATTGCTACATCTATGGCTGATTAAGTTAGGTTTTTAGTGTGGTGAGCTAATAAATACATCAGAAGTTCGTTTTCCTGAGTGGTGTCAATTACCTATTGTTTGTTCGTGGCCATGTATTACTTCGGTCTCAGTCAATCAATCTGAAAACAGTGGAGGGAGATGGAGGATGGCTTCTAAAGTGCAGTCAAGATGTACCATGGGAGGAGAAAGTTATTTAGCAAACATTTAAGTAGATCATGAGAGAGATACAAAAGAAAAGATTAAAAAACAGATGAACTATTAATAAAATATGATAAATACATTTTAAAATGCAGAGAATTTTATAAATTCATAGAGGAGGTGATACCTGAGTAGTCTGGCTGGGCAGGTAGGGATCAGCCAGTCAGGGCAGGAAGTAGGAAAGAGTATTAAAAGAGTGACAGCAAGGTGATCTTTTTTACAGTTAGGGTGCCTGTGCCTAGAGGTGGCTGAGATACGATGAAGTCCCTTTCTGCCTCTGCACTAACTGGTCTTTTGTGTCACACAAAGAACTTGAGATCTTACTAAAATGCAAATGGAGAGTTGTTTAAGTATTTAACAAATATTTCTCTGCCGAGTTGGAATAGAAGAAGGCAGAGGAGCAACAAAAGAGCAACTGATTTACTGGAGTAATTTACTTAAGGAAAAGAATGAGGATGTGGGGATCAAGTTCCTAGTAAAGCAGGACACACGTGCTCTGAGCAAATGGATAAGGACTATAAAGGAAAAGCAGGAGTCATACTAAGACAAGGGTGATTACCGACCTAGGACTGTTCTGGTCCTGGTTTACATCTGTTCTCTTGCAGTAGTTATTCCTAGAGTTCCCTTTTACTCTCACAACAGTCCCAGCTTGGATGATTCATTCTAGTAAAAACTGTACCACTGACATTCAGCTGTCTGGCTGCTTACTCTGCAGACAGTGGGGCCTTCAGATAAGACTAGGTACAGTGGTGGTGTGAACTGTGAGGAGTTCGTCAAGTTCCAGGAATTACTTAAAGGTGATGAGGGCAATTGATGACAGAATTGTACATGAATGAAACACTATGGTTTCAACAGCTTCCTTTGCAGGGAAAATTGATGCCAGCCAAACGTGTAAACAACTTTATGAGTCTCTGATGGAAGCTCATACCAGTAGGGAAAGAGTCATAAAAAACTGTATGGCCCACCTCCGAGAAGAGAGAGAAAAGCATTTGGATGATTTAAAGCATTTTGGATGACTGCAGCTTAGAAAAGAGCAAAGTTGAAATGGATGCAGTCAGAACTGATTTTGAAGAAGTGGTAAATGACAGGAGCTGGAAGGTGTTTAATGAACATTGCCGAATTCACTTCAAGCCTCCAAAGAATGAATAAAAAGAGATACTGTGTTAAAGGACCAGGTCACCTCCTCAGAGCTAAGCATGACAGATATCGGCAGGGTGGACTTCCCGAGGATGATATCTGAGCCAACAGTCCAAGACCCTTTGTTGATTTCAGCTCCACTTAGCCAGGACCTCATGTCTAAGTAATTCTGCTAATTGTGAAATAATCAAACTGCTATTTTATACTGATTCTGTAAAAACCATTTTATAACTATTAAAATAAATTTCTGACTCAGCGTTAAAAAAAAGATTAGGAACAAAGTCAGAGGAGCAGATGGTGGGGGGAAATCAGGAATACACTGAGTTCTGTTTATATTTGTTTGGTTTGAGGTGAAAGGTGATCTAGCGAGATGAACATGAAATATCAAGCTAGGCATGGTGATGCACACCTGTAATCCCAGCACTTGGGAAGCTGAGGCAGGAGGGTCACTTGAACCTAGCTGTTTGAAGTCAGCATGTGCTACACAGCAAGACCCCCATCTCTTAAAATACACACACAACAGTATTTGCCCTGTCAAAGTCTCCCCCATAAAGAAGACTAAATGGACATGCACTTATCACTTCTATCAGCACACTGTCTTTGTCTTTCTCCAATCAGTCTCAAATATCCTCAAGAAGGGGAAAAGTATTTATTAAAAAAATATTTCTCCCACATTTTTGTTTTTATTTTTTCTGTTAACAGGCAATTCCCAGGGATGCATGACAGGGTCAGTAGAGTTAATCAAATCTCATACTTTGTGGAACTAATACAATACAGACAATACAGAAGGAGACAGTCAACAGGAAGCAGCTAAGGAACCTTAATTTCTATCTGGAAAGAAAACAGTCTCTCTGTGGGTAACAAATTAATAGCAAGCCAACTCTCAAGAAGCAGCTACGTGTTTTAAAACTACTTCAATATATGTGTTAATTAGTTTCATTTATACTGCTAGTTTATCTGAAGTCTGTTGAAAAGAAAGATTTGTGTTATAATCTGTTTCTTTTTTATAAGAATCTTTTTGGTTTATGTCATATACTCTGAGTAACTACTTTGAAGATAATGATACATAATATAAAAACTACTTCTATAAAAAAGAAAGCAGCTAAGGTATTATGTAAAATCTTGAGTATGATTAAGCTAAAAATTTCTGTATTGAATGAAGAAAGTACACTTAAACAATTTAGAAAGACTTAAGGATTGAAACCAAATTATTTTCATTAGACTCCAGTTGACCAAAAAGAGAGAAATGCTTCTGAAGCATTGTGATTAATCAATTCCTTATAATAACGTGAATTAGTGTCTTCTAATTTTTACTAAAATGACCATTTTCTAGATTCTATACAAACAGGAGAAAAAAGTCTTACATATAGAAAAGGCCCAATGTTAAAAGTATAACAGAAAAAATAGAACCCCATACCAGACCAGAATTTTTCAATATTAATTCTTATATACTACAAACCACTGAATTATATGTTTTGCTTATTTGTGAAGCATACATTTCAAATAGGTGAATTTTATAGTATATGAATTTTATCTCAATAAGCAATCGAAAAATATCATTGTTAGGCTGACGGGACATTCCCCTGGCACATGGCCCTGGGTGTGAGTCCTTCTGAGCAAACAAACACAACACTGCAAACCATGGGAAAGCCCCATTTTTGTTTATAATGTATCAAATATATTCATATTCTCATGGAACCACCACACTACCATCCATTTCCAGAACCTTTTTCATCTTGCAAAATTGAATCTCTGTACCCATTAAACATTAACTCCCCACCCCTTCCTCTCTGCAACATAAACCCTCAGCTTTTAAGTGGTCATAATAATGTTAAAATTCTTACCAGATTATGTATAATATTTGTTAAGGTCCATGCAACAGGAACACTGAAGAAAGGAATGCTGAGTAAGACAATATGAAGCAAGCCAACTCCTAATGCATAGGTTAGCCACATACCCCGGCTGTTCATTACACGAGTATTTGGATTCACCTCACTGTGGGCAACTCCAACATTCATGTTTGCTCTGTAGGGAACAAATGAAATGAATCAACACTGATGCATTTAGGAAGCCTAAAAACCTCTAATTCTGACATGACAAAAAGTTACCAGGATTATTTTTTTCCTTCTTATTCTGAAATAGAACAGACATACCCTCCAAAATATGATACTTGCCGATGCTGATGCAGGGGGTAAAGAATCCTTAATACCCGAATTTACAGAAAGATAACAAGACTTGTTTTTATGGCTCCCTTGCACAGTTTGTCTTCCAGCATGTTGGTTTTACTAAATGAAATAATGCTCAGGAACATACAAACTGAAAAGAGAACAATCTACACTTTTTTTTATGAATACAAAATAAAATCCTCCTGCCTCAGCCTCTTAAGAGTATTTAGATTACAGAGTCATTGTATCCAGCTCTGTTGTTTACATTTATAATTGGGGAAATATAATATTTAATTAGAGATAAATGAGAATAAGATACTTTGTTTCATAGAGGTTTTCATTTATTCTCTGGATTCTGTCTACTGCACATAGATCCTAGATGAAGAATCCTGGCCCAGCCCAGTAAGAAATTAGAACCTAGCTGGATAAAAAGATAGAGCAGGAAGCAATCTCCTAGAAAAAAAGGGATCACTACTTTTAAAAAAATAAACTGTAATTTCTGTTTTCATTCACTATATTTTTAAATTTCAACAAATCTAAAGGTAGTTGTGCAACCTAGTTGTTAAGGGTTGAGAAATATCCAAATCACATCCAGATAAACAACATGAAACAGGGACAAAAGGAATTTTTAAAAAATTAGGCAGCCAAAATATAATCAGTTTTTCCCAGCCGCATTTGAGATGACTTTTTTTTTTTTTCTGGTACCAGGGATTCAACTCAGGACCTTACGCTTATGAGGCAGGCAGCAGAACCACTGAGCTAAATCCCTGGCAAGATGCCTTTTTTAATGAAATAAAATTTCATAACAAAACAATAAGTTAATATATTAATTATTTTCAAAGTAGTGACTCAGAATAAGATATAAAGATTCTTACAAAAAAGAAACAGATAATGAGTACAAAATAAAAAGTCAGGAGTTAGCCAGACACGGTGGCACTTGCCTGTAATCCCAGCACTGGGAAACTGAGGCAGGAGGATTGCTGAGAGTTCAAGGACAGCTTGGGCTACACAGTGAGCTTAAGGCCAGCCTGAACCACACAGCCAGACCCTGACTCAAAACCCAATCAAACCAGGGCCAGAGATTTAGCTCAGTGGTTCTGGCACCTGCCTGGCAAGCTCAAGGACCACAGTTTGATCTCCAGTACGGAAGGAAAAGAACAAAACAAATCAAACCAAACAAAAACTGGACTGGGGATTTAGCTCAGTGGTGCTGCCGCCTGCCTCATAAACCCAAGACTCTGAGTTGGATCCCCAGTACCAAAAACAAACAAACGACAACAACAAAGCCAGGAGTTAAACATTAACAAAATATTAAAAAAAATAAAATAAAAAGATGATCCAGCAAGTTAGTTGAGTAGCCAGATTCTAAAGTACTGTTCTGATTATACAGGGGTCAGAGTTCAAAGCAGTGCTTTTTGAAGACTGAAACTGGAAGGGACACGCCTTGACAATGTGTACAATTTACATGGTCAAGGGATAACATCTGTGTCTCACTTTTGTGACACAACTAGGTTAAAGTGGTGAATCTTTCTTCTGTATATTTCTCTATGGTCAACTCCTCTAAAACTCTACATTCTCTTAAGATTTTTCCATGCCCCTTTTATGCTCAAGATGAAAACCAAAGGAAGGACCTTAATAGTCTCAGTCATTTTACTGATGATGCTTATTTGGGTTTAAGAATTTCGTAAAGGAAATCAAACTGCTTGAAGAATGCCTATCATCCCAGGAAGCGGGTTCAACAGATTACATTTGTAACAGCTTTCATTTGAAAAATATATAAACGTTTTCTGTTACAGAGTTAGTAGAAAGAGAGGAATTTCTTGTAACCCTAGCCAGTAAGTGTTTCCAGGGCACAAGGTACCTTTCTTTTAACCTCTGAAGATCTCTGGAATAGTCATCAAGGCTTACATCGACCAAAGTTACAGGGACAAACACAAGTCTCTCCTTCGCAAACGTACGTGAATGAATACTTGCAACATCCAAGGTATACCACATACTACTTTTAAATGTTACAGTATACTAAGGAAATACGACCACTTCAGATATTTTTCCTGCTTTCCACAAGATGAAAAAAGGCGGCTAGAAAAGAGGCCTAAAATTTACATCTCAGGGGAGAGGAAGGAACATAAAAGAGTAAGATGTGCTATACGTGTACGAACTACCTCCGCTGAATGTAATCATTATGTATTTACAAACATATACTAATAAAAATTCTAAAAAGAGAGCGAGAAAAAAACTGACACCTGCGGGGCAGGGCAGACCTGGCTGGTACCCAGGCTTCCCCAGAGCCGCGCCTCCCCGCGACCAGCGAACAAAGACCCGGAGACGCGGAGAGGGTGTCGGGCCGCCCTCGCCCCGCTCCGGCACCAGACCCTTCGGGACCTCCGCTCGTCACGGAGCCCGGCAGCCGGTTCCCCTCTGGTCGCCGCTCAGTATCC